GTCCCATGAACTTCGAGGTATCGAGAGTTACCTGTAACAAGTAACCCTAACAAGCTACTAAAACTACTAACAGTCTGCTTAATGTTGTGTGATGCGTCTGGTGTGTTGGTGTTAGTGTCTGTGTGCTTGTCACCTCTCGCTTTCAGCCATCACTGCTGGCTAGCAGCAATGTGAAAAGGGAAGCAATTTATGTCTTCCCCTGCCAGTACATAGCCTCTCCACAACAAGTATTATGCGATGCCTCCATGTGGAAGCAGACAGATACTGGGCACTGTTTGGTCCCAGGCTAAGTTCGCAGGGGCGCACATTAAGATGAGTCTCATAAGCTTGGCTGGCACCTCATGTAGGAGAGAAAACTGATCACAAGCCGATATACTGTATCAGTGGAAATTTTAGGGAGAGGTAAATTTAGCGATTTGTCCTTAAAAACTGGTATTTTATTTTTAGCAAGATGTAATTTTAGCGATTTTAAATTGTCCATGAAAGAACCTATTACAAAAAAATGCAATAAATTTTTAGTGATATGTAATTTTTGCGATCTCAGCAACCTCGCTAATAATGCCAAAATTAAATCCTTGCTAAAATTTCTACTTATATGGTAGTAGGAAACTGCTGGCTATTTATCCCTATTTAAATAGATGATAACCTTTGTCCATTGTCTGTTGTCATCTTTGTTGTAAACTTTCACAATTTCACCTCCTTCAGAACTTCTGGGGCAAATTCAACCAAACTTGGCACACAGTATCCTTATATGAATGGAATCAAGTTAATTCAAATGAAGACCCTCAGCCCCTCACCCTCTTCCAAGAGGAGATAGTACAAATAAGTGAAAATAAATGACATCTTTTAAAAATCCTCTTTTCAATAACCACTGAGACAGGAAAGCTGACACAGATGTGGAATCATCCCCAGGTAGTGTAAATTCAAATTTATTCAAATCAAGACCCCCAGCATTGGGTGAGACCACAATTGGGGATCAAAAATATACATAGGAATTACATCTATATACTTGCCTATAAGTCGGTATTTTGGGAGTTTAAATTTAGTCCAAAAGCCTATGTCTGACTTATAGGCGAGTCAAAAAAGACTGGTTTTTTCTGGATGGTGAATCATAGTATTCTATAAACATTTTCAACAGCTATCATTGAATAAAGTATGGATATATTATATCATTTATGTATAATAAGATAATACATAAATTTTAGTATTTTATATACATGTATTGAATTTTTTTTATAATCTTAAGAGAGCATTATTAATTTTTTTTAATTTAAGGTTAAATATCAACTTCATTTCTAAACATATTAATTGAAATGAGGGTAAACATCAGAGTATTTATTAGAAATTGTCATCTGATTCTTTCAAAAAGTTGTACTGACTTATAAGCAGGTCAATGGCAAATCCCTGCCAAATAACTTTTAAAAAATACAACCGACTTAGGCGGACCGACTTATCGACTTATATAGGAAAAATCTTTATTAAAATTTTCTCATTGACAACAAAGTTACAATAAGTCATATTGATATGGAATCATCTTTGGTTAATTAAGATTCCGAAATGGACAATGTACAGTCAAAGTTTTACATTGGAATATATATATATCTTTAAAGATCTCAAGAACAAAAATTGCCATGACTGCATGGTCATATTTATATGATAGCATCCTCAGGTAGTGTTATTTTAAGAAGAAGGTACAGTTTGAGCTTTATTGTGCCCTGAAAATTTAATGTTCTTAAAAAGTTATGAAATTGGCTTTAACAATAGTTGAGTAGATGAATATGATAAAGCATGAAAGAATATGGCATAAAGGAGGACCTTTCTTGAAGTATGACATCAGTAATTTGGTGCATTTCTAAGTTTAATGCAGAAAAGCATCAAAATGACTCATTTCTGTGCGTATTTTCCTTTACAAAATAGTGTCTGCCACCGTCGCCCACTTTAATTTTTGGCTATATTATGTAAACTGCTATGAAAAATCACATATCTCACAATCTTTGCGGGCGACGGTGGTAGAGTATGTTTTCTTAAAGAAAATTCCACTGAAAATTGATGTCTTCTGCAACCTTTTAAGAAAATACGGGAAAATGCACAAATTAATGACGTCACAATCAGCATTAAGGATGTCATATGAGAAAAATGACTTGCATATTCTTACTGCAAGGGATTCCTATGATTAAGAAAGAATGAATTTTGATTTCGCATATCACTTTCAAATTTTCGAAAATATCAGGCTTAATTTGTATTGAAAATGTACCTTCTTTTTTGTTCAAATCATGATCCCTGGGGGTTAAGGGGGGGGGGGTGTGACAATAGGGGGAGTCAAAAAGTACATAGGAAATATAGAAAAATCTCAAGAACAGCAAAGCCATGTTTATTCATATTGATATGGAAGCATCCTTGGGAAGTGTAGAAACCTTGATCCCAAGGGGGTGGAGGGGCCACAATAGGGATGATTTTTTTTAAACAAAGAAATATATATGAAAAAATCATAAGTCATACCCCAACCCACCCCGTGGGGATCCGGGTTAGAATAGGTCCTCAGTACCCCTTGCTTGTCGTAAAAGGCGACTAAATGGGGCGGTCCTTCGGATGAGACCATATAAACCGAGGCCCCATATCACAGCAGGTGTGGCACGATAAAGATCCCTCCCTGCTCAAAGGCTGTAAGTGCCGAGCATAGGCCTAAATTTGCAGCCCTTCACCGGCAATGGTGACGTCTCCATATCAGTGAAATATTCTGGAGAGGGAAGTTAAACAGTATATAATCAATCAATCAATCATACCCCAACCCACTCAAATGTTATGGGCAAGGTTAAACTTTTTGCAGACAGACAGATAGACAGATAGCTAGACAGATGGCTGGACAGGACAAAAATTATATACTACAAAAACTTTGTTTATGGGAGCATAAAAAATGAGAGGAAAAAACAAACAAAACTGGGGAAAAATTGAGAGAGCAAGATGTGTTTATGAAACACTGATGCACCTGTATGGCAGATTATAATGAGGGTTGAATTTTCTAAAATGCACCTCATACTCCTAAGGTAGTGGTCAAAAGGTCAAAAGTATTGGTACCCAAAGGAAGGTCTCGTTTCAAGGAATATATATATATATAATTTAATTGGAAACGATACTTAGATGATTGTTTCATTTTTTGGACAAGATCTACTGAGGATTTACAAGAATACCATACCATTCTTAACAATCTACATCCTTCTATTAAATTTACCTTGGAAAAGAGCAGGTTAGAACTACCCTTTTTGGATATTCTTATAATTAAGGAGGGTCGCAAAATCATAACAGATTTATACTACAAGAAAACGGATTCCCACCAATATCTCGTATTTAATTCTTGCCACCCGTCACACGTTAAACGTAACATACCTTTTAATATGGCAAGACGTGTTTGTACCATTGTCATAGATGAAACCAGAAGAAATGGCCGTCTACAGGAATTAAAAACATTTTTGCTCAGACAAAAATATCCTAACGACTTAATAGATATAGCAATTGAAAAGGCCAAGTCAATACCGACTGCAGATCTCCGTTCTACTAGACGAGGACGCCAGGAAAACAATAAGGAAATCCCGCTGGTCGTTACCCATAACCCACGGAACCTTAATATATATAACTCCGTAAAACAGTGTTTTCCTATTTTACAGCAATCCCAAAATTTAAAAGAATTAATTGACCCGAAGAGCATCATCTATAGCCGACGCCAACCTCCAAACCTAAAGAAACTCCTAACAAGAGCCAGATTCTCATCGGATGAGGAAAAACGCACTGTAGCCAAATGTATGGATCCCCTGTGTGGAACCTGCCCTTATTTAAAAACCGGAGAAAAATTTACATTTAAATGTGGTAAAACGTTTACCGTCAATGCGAATATGTCATGCAAAACTAGAAATTTAATATACTGTATGACTTGTACTTCATGCGGGGAAAACTATATTGGACAGACCGGTAACAAACTAGCTGACCGTGTAAGAGTCCATAAACAACAAATACGAGACCCCTCCGTCAGGAATACACCTTGCAGTGAACATTTTGATTCATGTGCGAATGGAAACTTTTTGATATTTCCATTTTATAAAATCACAGAAGATAATGAACAATTACGGAGGGCCAAGGAAGATTATTTTGTTAAATTATTTCAGCCTAAATTAAATGTAAATTGAACATTTTAGCTCTAAAGAAATGTTCCATTTTATTACAATGTACATATGTTTAACTCTATACATTTGGCGCTTTTTTGACATTTACCTGTGCCAATGTATAACGCTGCCTTTGTGACGTCATAATAACGACGTCATAACAACGAAGTTGTATTGTTTTTATTATCATTGTTACACTCTGAAGAGCCGTAACGGCGAAAGCGCTTAGTGTAAAAAATTAAACGTAAACTTGTTTGTTTATCTTGGATTTAATTTTGATTTATATATATATATATATATATATATATATATATATATATATATATATATATATATATATATATATATATATACATGTAAAAAATAACAGAACGCCGATTAAAACTCTACCGGTTTCAATTGTATCATCAGGGACCTTATTCACAAAGCCTCCGTAAACTTACCGGACCCGTAGACTTTGCGGAATTGACCCGCAGGGGAAAAATTCTTATTCACGACGTCTCCGTAAATACCGCACCCGCAAACTTTGCGTAAACGTTCCGTAAAATCGGCGGTACATTACGGGACGTCATGACCATCCGTAAACGTTGCGGAAAGGGCAAAGCCCATATTTATGAAATAAAAATAAATTAATTATACTTAAGAATAAATAATTTAACATTTAAATGGAAACACATAAATAATAATTAAATTATACAATTGATTAAACTTTCTTCCCGATCTACTTTTATTTATTATAATCTTTTTTTTTTTTTGCATATAAAGAGTACTCAGTTTTTTAAGTTACGTATAAAACGATTGTTACGTAATATTTTACGTCATACCCGTTATTCAAGAAACTACGAAATGGCGTTCCAAGTCATATTCCAAAGATTAAACAAGAGAAATTTAAGAAGAGAAAGGGTCTTCAGGGACCGGACACATCCTTTGGATATGTATGACGATCAAGACTTAATCGTAAGATTCCGCATGCCAAGATATTGTATTTTAGATATTATAGATTTGTTGGCTGAGGACTTGGAGCCACCCACTATGAGGTCCAAGAGCATACCGGCTTCTCTACAAGTTTTGACGGCCCTGAGGTACTTTGCCACTGGATCCCTACAACAGGTAGTCGCCGACATTGCAGGGGTAAGCCAGCCAACTGTTTCAAGAATAGTCTACAAAACATCTAAAGCTTTATCAAATAGGGCAAGGGAATTCATCAAGTTTCCTGAGAGAATAGCAGAACAGCTTGTAATCAAACAGGGTTTTTCGTGCGAATTTAACATTCCAAATGTATTGGGATGCGTTGATGGAACGCTTATCCAAATTAAACCACCATCGGAAAGGGAAGACGCGTATGTGTGTAGAAAAGGGTACCACGCAATTAACGTTCAGGGAGTTTGTGATCATAAGAAAAAACTGACAAACATTGTTGTTCAATGGCCTGGTAGCACACATGACGCATATGTTTGGAATAATTGTTCGCTGAAAGAGTGGTTTGAAAATCAGCCCTATGTTGGCCATCTTTTGGGCGACCAAGCCTACCCGTTGAGACAATATTTAATCACTCCTCTTCGGGTTCCAAGTACACCAGCTGACAGGGCATTCAATGTTGCACACAAAAGAGCAAGACAGAGAATTGAAGATACGTTCGGACGATGGAAGAGTCGGTGGCTTTGCATTCACAAATTTGGTTCGTATACTATAGTTTATAACAAGCATGCATGAGATTTTCTGAAAGGCTTGTTTTTCCTCATAAAATTTGGTTATATAATAGTCATAACAACACGTTTTATACACAGTATATGGAAAGTCACTTGTCTGGCGTGAATAAAATTATATTCTAAGTGTAAAGAAAATTTTATATACATGTATATTGTAATCAACATAATTATGAATATGAAAAAGCAATCCATTTCTAATTTCCATTGTGATTTGAACAAATTTGAGTCTACGTGACCTGGAGGATGTTTCCATATCAATATGTCTAATCATTGCTTTTCTCTTTCTCTTTGAATCAAGATATTGTTAAATTGGATATCCAACGTAAAGCAAAACGTGAGACTCATAGCTAACCTTTTATCTCCCTCTATATCTCACCCTCACACCCTACCGAATCCCCATTTGAAGAGAGGGGGCACATTTGCCCCCCCCCCCTTGATTTTGCTGTATTTACGCATACTGGTATATATACATATAGAAATTCATTCCTAAATGTTGCACCGATGTGGACCTTTTATTTCTCAATTCTAGTGATAGTTTTATAAAAGTGCAAACAGCCGTTATAACTTCAAGTTTTGGACTTAGTATATATTCAAGTTTCTGTGTAGGTGATTTGATGTAGAATGAGGAACAATTATCTAACATATTTTTAAAAAAGTTTTTCACTTGCTTGTATATTCAAGCTACACTGTAGAAAGAAATAAAATTCATCATCAATAGTATTACGTGAATAACATAATCTTTGTTCTCGAGGTATTTTCTAAATAAAATATTAATGCATGTGTCATGTTGTAAATTTTGAATTTACCGGCCGGGTGTCAGTAAATACAAAATTTACAAGTTGTCATGTTGTAAATTTTGTATTTACTGCCACCCGGTAAATTCAAAATTCACAACATGACACATGTCACATCTTTGAACTTCCCAGCATACACGTACCTACATGTATTCTAAATTGACGACTTGTTGGCTGTCTGTCCCCTCAACACAATGTTATGACAAACGCACTTAACAATTTTCAAGCTGAGTTTAATGTAGGCCACACCAATTTAATTTCTTGTTCGTCGGACATTTGATGAAAGAAAGTACGAGCGGGCTAGCGGTTAAATAATAATATTATTACTTTTTGTAGACAAATTTTTTAGGCAGAGCGTGAAGAAATTTGAGCGGACAATTATATTTTTTTCTGATTTACAGAGTAAGCAGATGAAAAATACGATAAATAGAGCGGAAATAGAACAGAAAATAGCACAAAATTCCAATGGTGCGGGAAATTTTAAATTATATAATATTATTTGTCTTGTTTCGTTTAAATACGAGCGCGCGGGTCCGACGAACAAAAAATTTTATTGGTGTGGCCTTACTTAAGAAAAATATACAGAATGTTTTATTGCATTTGGAATTATCTGCCTGATGCCATGAAAGATAAAAATATTATCTCATATGATTAACATGGTCGAAAAAAAATCATGTAAATTATCACCAAAAAGGAAAAAAAATTGGATGAATTTATGAATATAAATTTTAAAAAATAGAAAAGAATTTTTAAAAATATGGACAGTTTTCGGTCCGTATATCTACATATTGATAAATTTATCTACCACAAGCAGTGTTTAATAAATAGAATAATCTGTGACATCATATGAGGACAGAAATAGAGTTTTAGACTTCACGTAAAGACAAATCGGTATAACATGTGTAATATACTGTAACACAGGTGGACCGTTAACAGTTTGCCTATCTACAGCTGTACAAGTAATCACAGCTACTGCAGTGCTGCACAACATCTGTGAAGATCGAGGTCTCCCCGTGGAGTTCCAGCAGGACGATGATGAGCAGAATGATGATGATAATGACATGCCAGGCGATGTACAAGATCACTCAGGACAAGAAATTAGACAAATGTTGATAAGAGACAGGTTTTAGGTACTTAAAAAATACAAATTAAACTGATTTCATTTGTACGATGACATTTGATCTGGCCGGGTATTTGAATTGGTAGCTTTGCATAATAGGTAATGTTTTCAATATTTAGAAGCTCGGCATATATACAGATATCGGAATGTAAATTTCAGGAGCACCCCCCCCCCCTTTTCAAACTTAATTAAACACCGGAACCTTTTTTTTTTTTTAGAAATTAGGTGAAAGTTTACAGAGATCTCTTCTTATTCTGTGAAAAAATGGTGAATTTTAGTCACCAAAGTTTTATTTTTATTGTGAAATAAACATGAAGGAGATAATAGATGTAAAGAAGTTGCAGAAAGTGATTAAAATAGGAGCAAGTGTATGTATTATTTAATTTTATTGCATTTCTTTGTAGATCAAAAAGAAAACAGAGATATAACTACGATGTCTAGAACTTATTGGTCATTTGTTTAATTTCTTTTTTCTGGAAAAATACATTGTATTTACCAGTTACATCTTACATATATGCTGTTCATAATGAATGGAACTTTATGTTTTGTACGTACATGCAAATCAAAGAAAACAGTGGATATATGAATTAAAAGATTTATCAAATGCACATTAACATTCCTCATATTTGCATAAATGCACCGTTGAAGAGTTGAAATTCCGATGCATTGCGTTCTGAATTATTACATGTGGCGGAAAATCCCCTGGCCCGCTCATCCATCTCCAAGCGTCGACGCTCTATCTGAAGCCTCTCCCTCTCGATGCCGAGTCTCTCTTTCTCCACATCGAGCCATTCCCTCTGAATCTTGATTAGTTCTCTCTGTAGTATCAAGCTACCGAAGAACAATCATTCAGTATACTCAAAAACTCGTACTAACGTATAATTATCTCAAGACAAGCTTATCTTTTAAAAAGATGGGTGAGGTAGCGCTGTAGCAGTATAAAACACAGAGGATATCTGAACCAAATTTTAATTTGCTGCATTATAATTAAAAAAAAGACAAATTGTTGCATGGAGGGGGGGGGGGGGGGGGGGGGTTTACAATTTAGAATAGTAAATCTATAAGAGTGTGCTTCACATCGACAATCGATAACTCTTTAACTCAAAACAACATTCTGTATTTTGCCTTGCTTTCAATTTCGAGGTGAAAAATCAAAGGTCAGAAGAGCCAATGAGTACCTATTTAAAAGATTTCCATTGTGTTACTATTTTTTTTTTTACCAAAAGCATCAATTCGGGCCCTTCAGTCTGGAGAGCTCGAAAAATATATCCGAGATTGCCGCGATTTTCCGAGTTTTCTGACAGATCCACGAAGGAAGATTAGAAAAGCTATGTATTTATCACAATTTTAGAAATTCAACTGTCATAGTCTTGGTTTTATAAAACCCGACTTACTGTAACTTTTTGTACATTTAAGTGCAGGTTAAACAATAAAACTCTAAACTTCCGATTGTACATGTACATGTATATATATATATATATGTATATATCCTGTTCTAGACTGGTATTGCCAGTGTCAATTTCAGAGCATCTATATTTGTACACAGGAGTCTGAAGTTTTAATCGTAAAAAAAAAAAAAAATTGCAACTTTGGAACTTGTGCCTAGTGCATTTTACTTACTTTGTAAATAAATGAAGGTTTTGAAAAGAACTATAATATTTTTTTTTCAGGGCACATGAGATTACTTTCTGGAGAAGACATTTATTTTTTTAACTACGAAAACTTAAAACGTAAGATCCCATAGGTGATTTGCATCAATTACACTGTTATTGACTTCCATCGCACAGGCGCTTGTTTCTGTAATATTTTTTAAATTAACCCATTGTATAAAAAAATTATAATATACTATGGGCTAAAAATATTGAAGAAACAAGTGCCGTTGCTTCATTGCTATCGAAAATGGACGGGATGCTACTCAGAAAAATGCAATCAAGGTTTTATTCAAATACTAGTAAATAAAATCACCTCTCATCAGCCTCATATTGAGAAGGCCGCCTTTTCATTTTCTTCGCACAGAAAGCAGATTCTGGTGCTTTTTCACTGATGCCTCCCTCTGCAGTCGTCTGTACCTCTTCCACTTCTTGTGGTGGACTCTCTCCAGAAACAGCTTTGCTTGGTGTCTAAGTGGAATTTGGTACATGATAAACTTGATATTTTCTGCTTATATAATGTCATAAAAAATTATATATATAGATATTTTATAGGTGGGAAATTCATAATAAAATCAATATTTATAATCTGCATTTTTTATGAAGATTTATAACTCATGTTTCTACAGAAGTTTTAAGGGCATACTATCCCTATAATTGTATTTACAGTATCATCTCAGAATGAAGGTACATAAATTAACCGTTAGTAGATGCATATCTTAAAAAAAAAAAGCGGAAACAAGGATCAATGTAGAAATCACGCCCTCTGTATGACTGGGGAAGTTACTAGAATTGTATATTAGAAAACGCAGAGAAAAAATTAAAACACCGATATACACTCAAATTCTGACTTGTTATAATTGCTACTAATAAAGAGATTATAGGCGACAATTCGTGTAACCTATATAGGTTATGTAACCTGTAAGCTTCCCCAGTATTACATATTTTCCTTTATTGACATGTAACCCCCCCAACACATACACACCTTATATCTTGTCTCTCAAAAAAATCAAAATGACTTTAATAACTTTTAAGACTATGTACAAGTTTATAAAACAGTCATTATTTTTAAAAACTGTAAAAATGATTTTATGTGTGTATATGCAGATATTGAAATTTAGTATGTGAACATCGTTCAAAATTGTTGAAAGTCTCGAAACAAATATATTGTTTTAGATTTAAGTAAATACCAAAAATGACGGAATGAAATTAGGCTTACTTACAGGTGGAATCATGGTGTCTACATACGAGCTGAATCCAAAAATTCTCTCCTCTCCCATTACAGACACAATATCTTCTTCCATTGGGCTTAAAGGTATAATCTCCAATTTTCCACTCCCCGTTTTACAACGTTCTTTCTGGACGGCAGAAGCTCTCTTCTTTGTACCCCTCTTTACATCATCCCACTTCTTTTTAATTTCGTCGACAGTTCTCTTCGAGAATGAGACAGCATTTACAGATTCCAAAATTTCCACCCACGCTTGCTTTTTCTTTGTATTGCTGATCATGTCACTGAATTTTGAGTTGATGACATCTGAACGTTCTTTAACTCCTTGAACTAATATTTCAATTTCTTTCTCACTAAAACGCGGCTTCTTTTTTCTATCTTCCATAATTTCAGCGTTAATTGTCAGAATTTCAATGATGTCATTTTCTTAGTCATGACGTCACAATAGGTTCACGGGACAAAAGAGGTATCAAGAGAATCTATCTAAACCTATGTACAAATATATATGTTACGCCGAAAACGTTTATTATTTATTCATTATTTGTAAATTGCTGGTTATTCATTTATTATTTAAATGATTACCAGTTTCAATAGTGTATATTTAAAAAAAAAATACACCCCCCCCCGACTACGCATTTAGTTAACTAATAATCACAACAGTATGAATATTTTGATTTTAATTGTTATAAATAACCTTTAGAAAGCTTTATTTTTGTTCACTATTAAAATATAAACACGTGATAAAATACTTTCTTATTCTTTTTTTTCTTAGAAGGATATTACTCATTTAAGTTTTGATTCTTTAATTTGGAGTATGCAACACATTTGATTAAAAAAATAAACAAAACACGCTCAAAACTATTAAAGTTTTAATATGTTCATGACTCTTTTTTTGTACAATGCAGGTGCCCGTTCAGCGTGTTTCACTTGCGGAAACTTTCCGTAAATTTCGCAAAGTTTACGGAAGCTTCGTGAATACGCCGTAAACCATCCGCAATCTTTCCGTAAACTTTCCGCAATCCTTCCGTAAACGCTCCGCGACTGCGGAAATTACGGAGGCTTTGTGAATAAGGTCCCAGGAGTTTGACATATTGCTATAGATACAAACATTTCAAATAATGCGGGAAAATTGTAAATTGTCTATTATGACAGGGCGTTTAGCTTTGGTTTAAACAATGAAATAAAATGTTTTTCCTTGGTTTCACGTTCCTTTTCGGAAGTCTTGTTATAGAACTTGTATATAGGAAACACTGTAAAATTAGGAAAAATGTTTTCAGCACATGTTCTAATATGTCCGCTCACGGCAGTGCACTGGTATTCAGTTTGACGAATTTGTTGACGATGGACGGTCATGCGGTGTCTTAGGGTGTCCCCGGTTTGGCCAATATAATGCTCGCCGCATCCTGAACATGTCATGACATATATCAAATTTGAACTTTCGCAGGTAAAAGAAGAATGAATAACGAATTTTCTTCCGTTTTTAAAAATAAATTGTTCGGTTTCCTGTAAAAAGGGACAGGTTCCACATCTTGGATGATGACATTTTTTAACACCGGCTGTTTCCTCTGTATTGTTAAATTTGGCTCGTGTTAAAATCTTCTTTAAGGATGGGCTCTGTCTTTTACTTTTGATCAACTGAAATTCACTGAATACGTCTTTCATCCTTGGATCATTCTCTAAAATTGGCATGTTGGTTTTGATGACTTGGAAAAATTCTTGATTTTTTGGATTGTGTGTAGATACGTAGGGAATGAGATTTTTTACGGGTTTTTCTTGTATCTGAAGTAGGCTGTTTCTGTCATGTAGTTTGGCGTTGTCTATTCCTTTTTCAATTAGTAATGTTGGATAATGCCTTTGTTTTAATAATTCCCGTAACTCATCAAGTCTGACATTTAAAATATCCTTGTCCGATATTATGGTACAGAGTCGCCTAGCTAAATTATATGGAATGTTGTTCTTGATGTGTTTTGGATGACAGGAATCGTAGAGAAGGTATTGTTTTGTGTCCGTGGCCTTGTAATATACGTCAGTTACGATTTTCCCTTCTTTTTTCATGACCATAACATCTAAAAATGGTAACTTGTTTTCGTCACTCTCCATTGTAAATTTTAAGTTGGGGTTCATGCTGTTTAAAATATCATAGAAACTTTGTAATTCATCGGTAGATTTGGTCCAGATTATAAAGCAATCATCCAAATATCGTTTCCAGGAGTTTCGAATAAAATGTTTGCACTCAACACCAAAATTTTCTTCCACGGTTTTGTATAATTTTTCCTCAGACTTGATGAGTTACGGGAATTATTAAAACAAAGGCATTATCCAACATTACTAATTGAAAAAGGAATAGACAACGCCAAACTACATGACAGAAACAGCCTACTTCAGATACAAGAAAAACCCGTAAAAAATCTCATTCCCTACGTATCTACACACAATCCAAAAAATCAAGAATTTTTCCAAGTCATCAAAACCAACATGCCAATTTTAGAGAATGATCCAAGGATGAAAGACGTATTCAGTGAATTTCAGTTGATCAAAAGTAAAAGACAGAGCCCATCCTTAAAGAAGATTTTAACACGAGCCAAATTTAACAATACAGAGGAAACAGCCGGTGTTAAAAAATGTCATCATCCAAGATGTGGAACCTGTCCCTTTTTACAGGAAACCGAACAATTTATTTTTAAAAACGGAAGAAAATTCGTTATTCATTCTTCTTTTACCTGCGAAAGTTCAAATTTGATATATGTCATGACATGTTCAGGATGCGGCGAGCATTATATTGGCCAAACCGGGGACACCCTAAGACACCGCATGACCGTCCATCGTCAACAAATTCGTCAAACTGAATACCAGTGCACTGCCGTGAGCGGACATATTAGAACATGTGCTGAAAACATTTTTCCTAATTTTACAGTGTTTCCTATATACAAGTTCTATAACAAGACTTCCGAAAAGGAACGTGAAACCAAGGAAAAACATTTTATTTCATTGTTTAAACCAAAGCTAAACGCCCTGTCATAATAGACAATTTACAATTTTCCCGCATTATTTGTCTAACTGTTAACGTAATAACGTAACATAATGACGTCACAATGAACTGTACTAATGCGCAACACTTTTGACGTTACATGACGTCACAATATACTTTGAAATGTTTGTATCTATAGCAATATGTCAAACTCCTGATGATACAATTGAAACCGGTAGAGTTTTAATCGGCGTTCTGTTATTTTTTACTATTTAAATACTTGTGTGGATTTTTTATCAAAACTTTGGATTATATACATGTATATATATATATACACACAGTGTATATACAGTGCTCAAAAGTCATGGCCAAGGTTAAAGTTTTTCAAAAGTGATTCAAACTCTAAGGTCAAGGTCAAAAATATTTATACCAACTGAACGGTCATATCAGAATGAATACATGTGTGAATGTTTGGAGTTTTTTTAATGAAAGTGGGTCAAACTCCAAGGTCAAGATGTCAAATTTGGCGGTACCAAAGAAAGCTTTTGTCACAAGGAATGCCCCACCCACTCAAAAGTTATCATCAAGTTTTTTTTTTTGCGGACCAACAGAAATTTTGTTTACGGGGGTATAAAAAGGCACAAAACTTTTAATGCTGCCTGCTTGAAATAACAAACATGCATGTTACATCAAGAAGAAGGTTCCAAGCCCTTAAAAGCAGAGGAGAAGTTTTGGTGTTTATAATCTTATACTAGTTTAAAGTGAAAATTTTAGGAAGACGCAAATTTAGCGATTTCTACCTAAAATCTGGTATTTTATTTTAAGTGAAAAGTAATTTTAGTGATTTTAAAATGCTAATTAAAGAAGCTATTACAAATAATACGCAATTAATTTTTAGCGATATTCTATTCTATCGATGTCAGCACCCTCACTGATAATGCCAAAATTAAAACATCCCTAAAAATTCTTCTTATACGGTATGTACATTACTGAATGTATGGAGTGCCAATTTAATGGAGATTTAACAAATCATTTTTTCATCATTGTAAGATATCGTTATTTTATCAAATAATTACTAGCAATGGCTTCTTCAATTCTTCTAATTTAATGCAGTGTTTTGATGTAAAATCATAATTTCTTAATGCAACAAATAAATAGACAGGGCAAAAGCTGATATACCCCCAAATATTTTATTACAGCTAGGGGCATGAAAAATTACTTGATTCTCATATTAGTTTTCAATGTGTAATACAGTTATTCATTGAATGGTAAGAAAGTTACAGCTGATTTAATATTATTTTGGTAAATCCCAATCATAGTTATTTAAAAGAAGTTACAGATTAACCAATCAAATTGCAGTATGCATGTACGTTTTCAAGAATTTTGAAAATCCTAATGGTATACAAATGTATTTTAACAATCAAAGTATTCTGTTAAAAAAAAGAAAGTAATAAATTGTAATATTTTTTCAGCCAACCAGAGTGAAGCATATATATATGTATGAGTGTATAATTTGCCTACACTTCTGATAATTCTTTAAATTTTGATTGTTTCAAAGCATTTTATTGAAAATGAATAAAATTTACAGCAATATTTAGATATATCATTCATTTTACTCAGTGCACACAGTCAAATGTGCAATAGCATGAATGTGCAGGCAAATGTCCCTCGTTCCGCACATCTACACCATATGCCTTTTAACTCTGAGATTATTTTTTTTTTAGAAAATTGTTAAAACTACTTCGTTGCAGATGAATGATGTGTATTTGTTTCTCTGTAAGATTGTCATTGACAAGTGATATCTGTGGACCAGCACAAGGACTATTATGCTCTGCTCTTACAATCTATATGATTGAGTATCAATAAAACAATTGTGAAATATTTACATCCACTGAATAATTTTTTCTCCTTTATTTCTTAAGAAAACCCATTGCGTTAATCACTGCAAGAACTACATTAGGCATGTCGCCTGTACAGATTTCTTGATCAGTGGCTGTTCCATCAATGAAACGTATAAAGACGTTCGCATCATTAATACAATAATTAATCTTTTTAATCTTACTTTGAATGATTATTTAAACAGATATAAATATAAACAATAACATGTCTTTCTTTGTTTGTTATTACTGGAATTAAAGGTCGCAGCTATTGCAGAAAAAATTACATAGCTATGCATTTTTTCTGCAACAGCTGCTTCCGTTAATTCCAGTAATAACAAACAAAGAAAGCATTTTATTGTTTAAATATACTATAAGCAACCAATATGTACAGACCTGTTTATTTGTTGTGAAGATGAGTTTGGAGATAGTGGATTTCTTGCATTTTAAAACATTTTTCAAGGTACAAAATGCTGCTGAACTGCAAGGCTGTCATATCAAAATTCAAATATCATTTCTTATTTGTTTTTTCTGCTTTCGTAATGCGTACATTTTGGAATACAGTAAACCATGATGTATTATTATCCATTGCAATAGAATGATATTTTTTAAAACCGGTATGTTTAATCTAATATACTTAGTCCATTTTTTTTCATTTCATTCACAGATTTATGTCTCCAATGAAATAAATTTGAGTGAAGTTGCAAATCCCTGCATTGTTTATGCCCTAGATGATGCACAAGAGAGTACCTTCATGACGTAATGTGGTCATAGTCCTGATATTTGGTTTGTGGGCAGATAAAGGACCTTTTGACGTCCCTGGAGAACGTCTTTCTAGTTCCTCCATGATGGAAGCAGAAGACGAGATAAATGATCTTCATTTCAAGGAATGAAATTGATTCAGATAGTTATACTGTATAACAAAGAAAAACATGTTACAAGTTTTAAAAGGCTCTATTTTGGGAGGAGGGTCTCTCTGAATTAGCTTGATTTATTTTCCCCTCAATCGCAACGAAAATAGATCACGAAATTCCAAATTGATAAATCAGGTAATGAGAACTCCAATCCCTCTCTCTCTATGCGTTCAGCTAGAACTTCAAAAATGTAACCATGCAACTAATCATGCAATGCTTTTGTCAGAAGTTTGTTTCATTTATTCCTTGAATTATACACAATATATTTTTATGTCAATGCAATGATGTAGTACCCTCGAATCGACATATTGACCTCATAAACAAAAATAAGCAATTAAGTTACTTTGAGTAGCTTAACAATATATTTATAACTGCTACCTTTATGTAATAATCTTGTTAAAAATGCTCCATGGTCAGAAAACAGAAAATATTCCATACACTTTCTTGTGAGTCGTGCATAGCTGCAGATCTGATGCTCTCCGAAAAAAATATATTGACAGACTGGAGAGCTACAGAGCCACACATTGAGAAAACTGTATCTATTTATTGTGCACAAAAAAGTGCGCTGTTTCTCGATTTATTTCTCAGTGTTTTTCATACTGTCACCTCAAAACATTACTAACCGTGTGTTCCTAACATATTCTTGTACTATTTCCACAACAAAACATTCCTTATACCCGTTGTAAATAGCCTTTATGGGCCTGAAATGGAGTCCATTGAAACTTTTGCCTAGGTACACTGCCATATTGCAAGATAATTCGGTCCATCGCGCTTCATGCAGATATGAAATACAAGAGTATAGTTGAAAGGGGTCAAGGAAATATTTTGAAATCGAGTTTTGTACAGTTGGGGTAAGAATTTGGAGAAATTAATCCAAAAATTTTCAGACCAGGGAGCTACAGATCAGCAGCTAAGTCGTGAATTGAGCGATGTTTAATTCTGTCTAAGATACAGTGTGTAGTAAGACCAGGGTTCCGGTATGTAGAGAAGTCCCGGATATTTAGTACGAAGTGCTTCATCGTTCCATAAATACATCACCCACAGAAGTACTAATACTAAGGTGAGGGCAAAAGAGTACAAAAGGAATAGTCCGTTAATATCAAGCTGGGAGTTTCCTGTACTTTTCTTGTAGACCATATATCCCAGCATGAAGACGAATGTTATAAAATACACAGTAAATATCTGTCCCTCTGTCACCAAATACCTGAAAATAAAATAAATGTTACTCATGCAGTCTCAAACAAAGTAAATTCGGTCTGAAGGAGGTCAATTCCACAATGGAATTCAGTTAAAATGGGGGGGGGGCTTTATTTTCTGTAGCTAGATTAAACTTTATACAGTATTTTCAACAGCTCATGCAGGTTTTCAATACTTTTCATACATTCATTACACTTTGGCCATTCCACATGTAGAAACTGTATAGGGAATCAATGTTTTCAAAGTTTAAGAACTTGATGCCATTATATTTTTAAGAATATTCCTATATATAAAAACCAAAGGTTAGTAATTGATATATGACAGAAATTAAGCATGGCAATCTTCAGGCTTTTGGTGCTAACTAAGGGTAAATCGTATATACGTACCAGTAGTAAATACCACTCACAATGGTTAGAATCCACCACGAAAATGTAGTGCGAACACGCTCATGTGGCTGATAGTTCAGAAAACATCCAATATAATAGAGAAAAAGACAAAGAAAAAAGGGAATGTACCTGAAAAAGTAAATTCAGTGGTTTGAAAAGGATTTTAAAAAGGAAAAGAATCAGATATCACGGCACAGTTAGCTTTATCTCAAATACTATAATGCTATGAGATACGTACCACATCAAATGGCCTATAATTTCGTCGTAATTGTACAAAAGAACAAATGATTCAACCTGTAACAAAAAGAAATAGTTCATGTAAAAATAAGCAAGTATTTTAAAACGTAAAATTTGAAGTTTAAAATAAAAAGTGATTATAAAATATGCATGTACATACGAGACCACGTGGTTGTAGAGATTGCATCATGGGATTGTCTCGGACTGAGAGATGAAGCTTATATCCTAGTTTGACAAGTCTGTGGTTAACCGAATCTCCCACAAGATGTATACTGGCTCCCATAACAAAAATAATTACACAGATATTTCTGAAAGTTGATGATGTTTTGGTATGACTTCTCTCAAAGAGCTAAAACATATGAAAATGGATGTCTTTACACTATACAATGTACATTAAAAATAAAACAATTTCTCTTAAATTACATTTTTTTTCTTCATATTATCCTGGCGATATAGAAATTTATTTCAGGTACTATTGATACTTAATTTACCTTCAGGATACAAAATGGAGTAATTAAATTATACATCATATGAAAGTAGTCCCCAACGCTGGGCAGATGCATTGGGAAGAGTTCTTCGGGAATCATCAACTAAAAAAAAAAATAGGTAATCAAAGATTACGAAGCTCATCTCGACAAATGTTATCAGTTTAAGTAATGAAAATCTCACATAATAATTTCTTAACAGTTAGTATTTATTCTGACAACAATATTCAAGCAAGTTCTGTTTAAAGCAATATGAACTGCAACTTTGATCTTGGAATTTTTTGTTGCAAAATTGTAAATAACTATTTGAATGGCAGAAAAAAGCTTTTATTGAATCAAAATTGCATTATTGTCGTCCTATACAATAATGATTTCTTATATAATACTGTATATTCGATTGTAAAGAAGTCTTTCTTCAGAAACAATTTAATGCTTTATTTAAGTCTAATTGATCACAAAGGTTTGAATTACATACATTAATTTATCATGATAATACATTTTATTACATTTTTACAGCAAAATAAAATTTTCAAAAATGCAGCTCATACTGCTTTAAATAGGTCTTTAACTTCATTGGGATTGATCTGTTCCATAAAGTTTGACCTGGTTATTCGTTTGGAAAATGTTGGTCAGATCCAGCATTCAAAGCAAGTTTTGATTGTTCATTCTTAGATGCATCATCCATGCAAGTTTGGTCCCGTTAGGTCTTATAGTAACTTGGGAATAACCTTGTCACTAATCTGGAAAATGTAGGTCAGATCCAGCATCCGAAGCAAGTCTGGTAGTATCCATCTCTAGATGCATCATCCATGCAAGTTTGGTCAAGGTAGGACTTATAGTTAATTGGGAATGGACCTGTTCCTAAAACTTTAACTGGGACGCCGACACCGACGCCGGGGGTATAGCATAAGCTCATCTCGACTTCGTCGAGGTGAGATAAAAATCAATGGATATTGTAATAGAATGTGTCTGTATTTGGGTTCTTCTCTCTGTTTTGTTTATTGGAGTGAGATAGAGTTTACAAAACTGGTAAAATATGTGGTGATTAGACGAATTCTTTTGGTCACATTATATGTATATGTAACTACTGTAGATTCCTTAATATATGCGAGGAAATAATTATCGCGTAATTTCGCGAGAAGCACCACACGCGAAATAAAATTACTCGCCTTCATTTTTATTGTGCCGAAACCTATGTAAGATCTCTAGATAAACCGTCCATTCGCGAATTATTATTCTCGCGATTTGACGTTGAAGAGCCCATTCGCGATAATAAGTACTCGCGAAAATAAGGAATCTACAGTATAGTATGTATCCTATCCCCCCCCCCCCCACTTCCGTCGATTACGATTAATACAGATCATGTGAGAGCCTAAGAACTGCGTTTAGTTATTAGTGTTCTAAATCCTCTAGATTTCTGTTATACTGTTATGGAAGAAACGTACAGCGGCAATGGGTCTACCGAAGTCAAAGATCCAGTTCTGTAGAGTCATTAGGAGCCATAGGTCCCAGTGGAAACTTTCCAATGAACGTCTAGGTTTGATGTCACTGGAAATTTTAAAACATTCATGATTTACTATTCCTGTGTATATTTACATTTGCATAATCTTTTTGTAAAAATTGAAATACATCTTGCATTCAGTTCAAACTATTTTCCGTTTGCAATGGAAAAATTATTACTTTTTTTTCAAAAACTGATAGATTGAAAGTTTTTATTGCTCAGTAATACTCATTGTATGTAACATGTAAATTTTCTACATCATCATCGTTCGATGAGTGCTTGTGTACTCAGAACTGTGTATTGCGATGAAAATTTTGCAGTCTATGGATATTTTAAGGCACTGAATTATCGATGAATTAACACAATAGTAGTAAAGATTATGCATTTCCGTATGTATGAAAGCTTGCACCTGTATGTATAATAACTCTTTTACAGTGTAAGGAATTTTCCTTTTGCATTGTTATGAAATGAGCATTGAAAGCCACAACCTTGATAACTAGTGCTAATTGTAACGGGGACCGTTACAGATGTTCCCCAAACGCTCCCCAACTTCCTTTTGGTGCCATATTCCCTGTAAGCTTCATTAAATAAGACAAACTCTATGCTTTTGAGATTTTAACAACGTTAACCCAGAAGTGTTCCAAGATCATTAAAATTTTAGCATTGCACGCGTGCGCATGTGAATGCATGTCCATAATGACGATATCATCTTGTCTACACAAACTATATATTTTAATACATTAATATTCAAGTATTGAATCCAAAATTATTAAACAATACGCTCATTCAAGTGTATTTTTGATTTTACTCATTTCATGTGCACGCACGTGCATACATGAGCATGGTAACAATACCTTCTTGTAGAAGTCCATTACATCTATCTATGTTATAAATTCCAGCCCGTTTGGTTGAAAACCAAGGGAGTTATAGCTGTTTAAAGTTTCAGCCAATCAGATTGCAGCGCTCGTACACGCACGCGTATGCATGTGCATGGTGACCATACCTTATTGTAGAAGTCCATTATGTCTATCAATGTTCCAAATCCTATCCTCTTTGGTTGAAAATCAAGGGAGTTATAGCTATTTAAAGTTTAACCAATCAGAATGCATCGCACGTGCATGCACGTGTTTTTTGATAATTGCTATATATCATGTTGTAGGACATCCTTATGCACGGCTATGTTCAAAATTTCAAAGGATTTTGTCAAAAATCAAGAAAGATATTGAGACATTAGTTTCAGCCAATCAGAGTGAAGCGCACGTGCATGCGCGTGAGATCTTGCTATTTTGACCATGTCATGTTGTGTATGCTACTAATATATCCTCACATTATAAGTTTGAAAGCATTTCATCCAAAAATAGAAAAGTTACGGCTAATCTATTATACTGATCATTTCACGCGTTGCACGTGCACGCTCTTGCAAGCACGTGCGCGCAAAATTACCTTTGTTCCGCAAATCTACATAACATGCTCACTGACCCTAAAAAGGTTTTACCTAAGTCGGATGTGTAGTTTACAAGATCACTCCCGGACAAAAAAGTACCCAGGAAGAAGAAGAAAAATAATAATAACTAGATGTGAAACTCGTTGCGAGCAACGAGAGGTCTTCCGTCCGATTCCGGAAGGAAAACGTTAAATCGAGCAGAAAAGTTGAAAAAGATTTGCACACAAGGGGGATTGAACCCAAGTCGCCAGCATGAAACTCCAACGCACTAAATACTACGCCATCGCGACCTCTACTCTAAATCTACTTGTATATATATACAAAACAGTGCTTCTGTCTTAAAATTATGAAAGGCAGGTCACTTTTCAAAATTTAGCGATAAACGCCAAGAGTTAATCTTTGCGCCTTTTCTTTGGTATGTTCTATTAAATAGGTGTGATATCTTCAATGAAGTTAAAAAAAGAACGTTCGTATAGTCTATTCAAGGTTTACAAAGTATATTAACACATTTTACAAATTCCATATTGTATATATGCATTTAACACTAAAGCGGTGAAACAGTTATGAATTTTTAACTTTTTTCAGTTTCCTTTTTATCCCCAAAGTGAACTATCCCGATTAGTAAGTCGACAAAGGTTGAAATGTTTCGCCAAAAAACATGGCTCCTCCTACAGCGGTCATGGAATCAAATATCATTCTTGATTAATGACTCTGAGACAAGAATGCTAAAATAAACTCAATGAAGCGATCTTTTAAAAAACATCTTATTTTTGTCTTATTTATTAGTTTAATATGACACAAGTGTGCATAGGAAAAACAGTTGTTAAGATTTATACTTAAAATATTAATTGATATTCTTTTTTGAGAAAGCATTACTTATAAGCATGATTAAAGATCTGTTTTTCCATGGTGCACAAAAGATATTAGGTGTCGAATTTCCTTTGCACACTTAGTCTTTTACCAATTATAGAAGACGTTAGTTTGACACAGAACTGCAACGAAACTACGACGTGACAATCCAAGTATTCCTTTACATTTCATTTATCCTTATGTTACTTTCGTTCAAGCAAACGCTCGGCTGCCTCCGTAAACCCCTATTGCGAAATGTCGGCGTTGACAGAGACAGCCGCCATTTTGGACCCGCTTCAGATTTTTGAATGCTAATATCTAGAGTTTAGATTTATCAACATTCAAACAAATTATGTAGTAAGCATTATAAGGAGGGTTTCTATGAACATACCAAAAATAAATGAAAAATACTGAAAAACAAAAAAGTTAGAAAATACGATTTTTTTAAATTTGCATCTAGTAACAACCGGAAGTACTGACGACGCACGAGAAGGTGATTCCGCAAACCACAAAGTGACAAACTATCGTCTCCAATAAGTCTCCAGGTCATATCTTTAGCTATTTTTGAGAAAAAGGGGCGACAAAATCGCATTTTAAAATCAGAAAATCGTCCATAACTTGGCACCATAAGCGAATTTTCCAAATTTCTCTTCGGATGTAACAACTTCATATAATGACACATATTTTGTGAAAGTTTCATGAAAAACCGCTGAATAGTTTTCGAGAAATCGCCTGCACAAAATTTTGTCAAAAAAAAGAATAATAAGAACTAGATGAGAAACTCGTTGCGAGCAACGAGAGGTCTTCCGTCCGATTCCGGAAAGAAGACGTAAAATCGAGCTGAAAAAGTAAAAAAAAAAGATTTGCACACAAGGGGGATTGAACCCAAGTCGCTAGCATGAAATTCCAACGCACTTAATATTACGCTAGCGCGGCCTCTACTCTAAATCTACTTGTATATATTAACTAATATGCTTCTCTCTAAAAATTATGAAAGGCAGGTCACTATCCAAAATTTACCGCCAAACGCCAGGAGTTAATCTTCGCGCTTTTCTATGGAATGTTCTATTAAATGGATGTGATAGTGTCAATGAAATTTAAAAAAAAAGAACGTTCTTATAGCCTAAGATTCGAGATTTGAAAATATGTTAAACACATTTTAAAAATTCCATATTGTATAAATGCATGTACAGTGTAACACTAAAGCGGTGAAACGGTTATGATTTTTTTTCAATTTCCTTTTTATCCCCAAACTGAACTATCCCGATTAGTTAATCGAAAAAGGTTAAAACTTTTCACGCGAAAACATGGCTCGCCGTCCGATGGTCAAGGAATCAGATATCATTTATGCTCAATAACTTGAATCTGGTCTTTGAGACAAGAATGCTAAAATAAACTCCGTGAAGCATCTTTAAAAAAATCGTTTTCTTATTTTGTCTTATTTATTAGTTTAATATGACACAAGTGTGCATAGGAAAAACAGTGGTTACGATTAATATTGACAATATTAATTGATATTCCTTTTTGAGAAAGTATTACTTATAACTATGATTTAAGATCTGTTTTTACGTAATGTACAAAAGGTATAAGTTATCGAATTTCATTTGCACATTTTGTTCAATCGTCTTTTGTTTTCTACTTTTAAAACCAGCCAAGACCAATCATAGAAGACGTTAGTTTGACACAGAACTGCAACGAAACTACGACGTGACAATCCAAGTATTCCTTTACATTGCATTTATTCTTATGTTACTTTCGTTAAAGCAAACGCTCGGTTGCCTCCGTAAACCACTATTGCGAAATGTCGGCGTTGACAGAGACAGCCGCCATTTTGGACCCGCTTCAGATTTTTGAATGCTGATATCTAGACTTACGATTTATAAACATTCAAACAAATTATATAGTAAGCATTATACGGAGGGCTTCTATAACCATACCAAATATAAATGAAAAAAAATGAAAAACAAAAAAGTTAGAAAATACGATTTTCTAAAGTTTGCAATTCGTAACAACCGGAAGTATTGACGACGCACGAAAAGGCGATTCTGCAAACCACAAAGTCATGATCTATCATCTCCAATAAGTCTCCAGTTCATATCCTTAGCCATTTTTTATAAAAAGGGGCGACAAAATCGCATTTTAAAATCAGGAAATTGTCCATAACTTGGCACCAGAAGCGAATTTTCCAAATTTCTCTTCGGATGTAACAACTTCATATAATAACACATATTTTGTGAAAGTTTCATGAAAAACCGCTGAATAGTTTTCGAGAAATCGCCTGCACAAAATTTTGTCAAAAAAAAGAATAATAATAAGAATAATAAGAAACAGTAGAATCACTATAAGGTCTTCCGTGAAGACGGAAGACCTTAATAACTAGATGCGATCTTGTTGCTAGGGCAACAAGCAGGTCTTCCGCCCGACTTTTCGTTAGAAATCTCTGCTCCGTCAGGCCATGAAATAGATTTCAGAATGTATTTTTATCGTTTACTTTCATTGAGAGCAGTCTCTCAACATAGATCGTGATTATTACAGTTATTCCACAAAATATCTCAAAATATAGCTTTTAAAAATCGACAAAATCTTCCATACATGATAAAAAAGAAAGAAAAGTCATATGCAACTAAATAAAGACAGAAACAAAGAAAAAATTTTTGCAACGCCCCCAGCGGGATTCGAACCCCCGACAGTGAGACAAATTTTGGATCGGTCATATCTTTGCAACAAATGCACGCATGAAAATGTTGAAAACATTTTTAGAGTTCTTAAAAGATACTCTATCAACCCTGTGAATTCCAAAGAAAAATATTGAAAAACAAAAAAGTTGAAAAATTAGACTTTTAGAATTCACTTCCGTTTGCGACCGGAAGTCAGAACGACGAAAAATGAAGATCGATCAACACATCTACATTCGATGTTCTATCACGTCCGTAAGTTTCTGTTTTATATCTGTTACTGTTCTCGAGAATTTTTTGCGACAAAATTCCATTTAAAAAATACAAATTTCCCCAAAAAACGCGAACGGAAGTAAATTTCGAAAAAGTGAGGGACACCCCTGGAGATATTAACATGATGCACCATCCCTGAAAAAATCATTCAAATTGAACCACGCACAGCTGAGATATGACCTGTACTATGAAAAGTGGAATAATAATAATAATAATAATAATAATAGAAAACAGAAGGAAAACAATAAGGTCTTCCGAAGGAAGTCGGAAGACCTTAATAAGAAACAGTAGAATCACTATAAGGTCTTCCGTGAAGACGGAAGACCTTAATAATAAGAAACAGAGTAAAAACAATATGTTCCCCAACTTCGTTTGGGGAACATAATTATAAGTAAAATACGGATTCACATTTCAAATTGAAGAAGAAGCATGCAAGATACATTAAAAATCTAAATTCATTGATTCTTCGCCAGAAATCAATTCTAATTTTAAAATGTCATCCTTATAAAACTCATGCAGTACAATTATCCATGCACAATGCACGACTGTTATATTAGAAAAATTAGTATAGTAGTTCAAAGCTGAGCTGGAAAAAAAGAAATTAAAAAAGCCCATGCAAACTTTGACATGTGCTGCAACATCCCCCGTACCCCACCTGTTACATTACCGAGCATCAGATAATTTAGCGTCATCGTAGGACGTGTCCGATTCACTGTTAAAACCGTAAAATATATCATTTTAGATTAACAAGTACGTGTAATAATATGTCAGTAAAACAACATTAGGTAGCATTTGGATTCAGATTTTTAATATACATTGGGATAGAATTACATGTATTTGGTTTGTCAATCCGCAATAGGACCATAAAAACAAAACTCAAACATAACATTTTTATTTCTTATTCGTGTCTTCTAATTATTCTCTTTTCCATTCTCCCTTGCATGATTAAAAATATAATTAATTAAAATGAAGATTCAACATTGCCATGGCTAATAACACCGAATAATGAACATCCTACCGAAAAGTGTGACGTTAAAGAAATATTGAGAGAGAGAGAGAGAGAGAGAGAGAGAGAGAGAGAGAGAGAGAGAGAGAGAGAGAGACCTAAACTGAGTGGATGTTAATCAAATATTACTGAAGAATACTTCTTGAAGTATACATCGCATGTAAAATATAGTAAGTGCTTTATATTTAACCGGAATGGACTTAATCAGACTTGGAAGACTGAAGTTATAACTAGGCAACGTCATCATTTTTGGAACACATGGCGCACAATAACCTGTTATCTATCAAGGATCCCATTTCTCCCAATATGTTACACGATTTAACAAATCCAGAGGACACCACTATATCATATAATGATATATATACATTTAAATTGTTTATTGATTTGAATAAAAGATAAATTTATGGTTTGTTTCTAAGAATGCTAGTAATTATTTACGTTCGTTTTATAAACGTCAAACAGGAAGGCTATTTTACAGTGTATTATTAGAGTCATTGCATTATTTCAGTAGTCCCTTGTTATCAATAAGCGATTCACTAGGTCGATCGTTAGATTTTTGTAAACACGTACTTTGCCCCCCTCCCACTCACCGTGCGTCCTCAATCATAAGGCCTTCTAGGTCTTCATCATTTCGCCCCCTCCGTCGGACTTTATTTCCAATACTAGTGGCCATTACTGTCCCTCAATTTCTTAGTTTAATCCTGTGATCGTCACTCTGAATTTCAGATAATACGTAAACTGACTCCGTCGTGTTATATTTACTCAAAACGATAATTAAGTGTTATCTTAACCCCAGGCTCAATTTAATGATTTACACCTGTAAAAATGCTTTCCAAAGTTTTATTAGATTAGATTTATCTTTCTCTGTAGTTTAGCAAATGCCGGAAGGTCATGCATATGTACATCATAAATTAAATATCGTGTAGAGTATATTTGCATGCGCGGATCTAAGGCTGAGTCAGGACCCTCCCCCCCCCCCCGGAATTTGCAGAGTTAATGAGTTTTTAACCCCCCCCCCCCCCCGGGAATTTTCAGAGTTATTAAATGTATGTACTAAACAAAGGTGTGACCTGTAACCCCCTCCCCTCCCCGTAGAAAACGCGAATAATAAAATAAAAAGAGGTAATTTTAAAAAAGGAAAAATCATTAAAAACAAGCTTATAAAAAGTTATATTTTGTAAATAAGGAAACTAACAAGATCGAAAAGCCCCTCCCCCCTTTTTCCAGTTTTTATCTTGAATTGATTTTTTTAGCTCACCTGAGCCGAAGGCTCAAGTGAGCTTTTCTGATCAAAATTTGTCCGTTGTCTGTCGTCGTCGGCGGCGTCGGCGTAAACTTTTCACATTTTCATCTTCTTCCCAAGAACTGCTGGGCCAATTTCAACCAAACTTGCCACAAAGCATCCTTGGGTGAAGGGGATTCAAGTTTGTTCAAATGAAGGGCCACGCCCTCATTCAAGGGGAGATAATTGGGAATTAATGAAAATTTGGTGGTATGTTTTAAAAATCTTCTTCTCAAGAACCACTGAGCCAGGAAAGATGGAACTTATGGGTAAACATCCTCAGGTAGTGTAGATTCAATTTTGTTCAAATCATGACCCCCGGGGGTAGGGCGGGGCCACAATGGCCGACCAAAGTTTTACATAGAAATATATAGGAAAATTCTTTAAAAATCTTCTTCTGAAGAATAACAAAGCCATAATTGATCATATTTATATGGAAGCATCCTCAGGTAGTGTAGATTCAAGTTTGTTCACATCATGACCCCCGGGGGTAGAGTGGGGCCACAATGGCCGACCAAAGTTTTACATAGAAATATATAGGAAAATTCTTTAAAAATCTTCTTCTCAAGAGTAAAAAGGCCTTAATTGATCATATTTATTTGGAAGCATCCTCAGGTAGTGTAGATTCAAGTTTGTTCAAATCATGAGCCCCCGGGGTAGGGTGGGGCCACAATGGCCGACCAAAGTTTTAGATAGAAATATATAGGAAAATTCTTTAAAAATCTTCTTCTGAAGAATAACAAAGCCATAATTGATCATATTTATATGGAAGCATCCTCAGGTAGTGTAGATTCAAGTTTGTTCACATCATGACCCCCGGGGGTAGAGTGGGGCCACAATGGCCGACCAAAGTTTTAAATAGAAATATATAGGAAAATTCTGTAAAAATCTTCTTCTCAAGAATAAAAAAGCCTTAATTGATCATATTTATTTGGAAGCATCCTCAGGTAGTGTAGATTCAAGTTTGTTCAAATCATGAGCCCCCGGGGTAGGGCGGGGCCACAATGGCCGACCAAAGTTTTACATAGAGATATAAAGGAAAATTCTTTAAAAATCATTTTCTCAAGAATAGCAAAACCATAACTGGTCAAAGGTTTACTTTTGAATTTAAACTTTTCAACAATAAACCAATTTCTACATTTTTCCTAGCCACAGTGCTCAGGTGAGCGATGTGGCCCATGGACCTCTTGTTTAAAAATGTGAATATTTTTTCCCATGTTTCGGATTGAGTGGAATTTAAATTGTGAAAAACGGAGAGCTTCTTAATCAATTAAAGATTGTAATTTCACTTGTTAGCGTTATCCATTCGAACGCAGATTTGAATTAATCAAGACATTTGACTAAGTTAGACCCAATCTAAAGCTAAATAGATTCTTCTTAACTTTAAAGCATAATACATGTCGTTTTCATTTAACTATATTTTTTCGTCAGATTACTCCCACCCCACCCTCAAAATAAAAATCAATCTCATCAAAATTCATGGTTTATAGACAAATAAAAATCAAAACACATGGCTGCATGAGACTCTCATTGCGCCATAGATTTAATCAGACTCCTTTATTCGCTCTGAGGTGCGCCAATCTGTGTGATTGACTACCTGTCTACGGAACCAATCAACTATATCATTTCTTTTCTCCCAAATAACAGAACCAAATTCTGGTTGGGAAGTCGTTACATGATGCTCAGGTGACCTATTAGGCCGATGGGCCTCTTGTTTATTTAGCCCATAGTATAATAAAATAACATAAGATGTTACTAATATTAAATACATTATTATCGATGGTATTGATAATTTCGTTTTAAAATATTGCACAAACACCTGAATTTCTCTCAACAAAACGCTAAATAGTCTATTAGCCAAACATCGAAAAAAATTCTACCCCCTCTATTTATACTCAGTAAATAATATATATAGAGAGAGGGGGTAAATTTTTCGATATTTGGCTAATTTAGCGACTTATAATATTGATGAAAATTCAGGTGCCTGTGAATATAGCTTAAATTTAAAATGCACAGGTATTTACTGGATGCCGAATTGCATCGGGTTCGACATTGTCTTTCGAAATGAAAGTAGTGACGTCAAAGATTTGCAAGACGTGTGTGTGGCAGACGAGAGTTGGAGAGGAAATCTTAGTAGCGCTGTATTTATTGACAGCGTAAGAACATTAATATTTCCTTTATTGGAATTTCTTAAACATGAGGATACGCAGAAACATTATAACAATACAGCTGGTGACGTTATTCTCAATATTCTGTGAAAGTGTTGCTGTAGGATTTACTGTCGATCAATTTAACCATGCTAAATTAATAAGAAAGGAAGATCTTCCGGGATTTAAGCAAAGTAAAACAGTTAGCGTTTTATACTATTATAAGGAAGGTAAGTATCTTCTGTCTTGCTAGTTATATTTTTCACTCTGACTTATGTGAAATCATTCGTAAGGTACTAGATAGGTTAGCTAGAGTTTAAAGGTACAAGCTGTCCTACTGTATCCTGCTTCATAAATGAAAATCACTTGAGTGTAGTTTGTCAGTGTATTATTGAATCAATTTAGTAGACACGAAGATACGAATCTTTGAATTTAAGAATTAATTTAGATGTAGTTACGACAGACAGCATTATCTGATGGACTGTTTCACTTCTACACCAGAGCTCCAGATTATGAGATAATGTGCGTATTTGCAGAAATACGCATTAAATTTTACAAACTATGCATTGAAAATTAAAATAAAGCATACAATTATGCATCAAAACAGATTTATTAGCCTTTGAGTAACCAGGAATATTCTAGTAATGACGACAATGATCTCCATTTCATTTCGGGAGGAAGAATCAGAAATTTAGATTAAAACCAATTTCTATGTAGAAAGACTGTGCACTAGGCATACCTTTTTTTATCATGGGTTCATAGCCAATTTTTCATCTCTCTCAACTTGCCACATTAATGAAGATTCTAGCTTTTCTCTCAGTTTACTCTTGCTATCATATCTTAAATGAAGGAAAAGTTTTCTGTGTCTCTGACTCTATGGTACCTTGACCTATTGTATTTAATCTTCCTTGTCAAAAAAGAATGCTTCCCAATCTTAGCATAAAGTTGTGTTGGTATTTACAAAATTTGTTTAAATAAATGCAGGACTGACCTTTGAAGTTTTTTCCCTCTTCAAAAACACAAACTTCGATAACAAGCTCAAAATCAAAATAAAGGTCAAAACATTTATATATAAACAAAATACTCTTCAATCAATTTGCTAAAAATCAAAATCTACATTGAATAAAAAATCAGGGAGTAAATACACTTTGGGGTAAAAAAAATATCTGGAGCTCTGTCTACACTAAAACCTTTTAATGGTTTATAAGTCCCTACAATTATTATATAACTCAGAGGATTACATGGTCCAAAGTCAAAAGTATCTCTGCATGAATCTTGAGCATACTGGATCAATAGATTGTTATTCATATATATGAAAGTCAAGAAAAGACATCTGTGTATAAAATATATTTTAAAGTAATTATTCAGTAAAAAAAAAATAATAAATACATACTAGGATCCTGTTTGTTTAGTGGACAGTTGTTATATGAGTAAATTCTTTAAAATCTTTCAAATATTTATATTTCTTCTTATAAAGCTTATAGTGGGCAGGCAAATTTAAATTCAGTGACATATGAAATTAAAAGTAAAGGTAATGATTTTGGTTCAAGTGTGGATGTTTTTATGAATTGGCTGCATTTGTCACCTCACCAAATATGTCTGTGAAAATAATTAGGAAATCTATTAATTACTTATTAGCATTATATTTTGTTAAGTCATTTAAATTTCACATTTTTTTAAAAAAATGAAAATCTGTGTAATAACTTTTAAATAAATATTACAAACATTTAGATTCATTTATACTAATGTTTTCTGAAGAGAATTGCATGATTTAAATTGTATTAATTATAATCTTCATAATATATCTATGCATCTTGGACACATCTTTTTTTCATTTCCAATAAACCACAAATGTTGACTAAACTTGTGTAAGTAAACATAACATTTGCTTGGAAATGAAAGAGTATTCAGAGAGACAGAAATACAGCCAAACTTGTTACAGATGCTGCCTATGACTTCATTTATTGGATGTCATGTTAAGTGCTAAGAACAGCTTGGAATGGATTCTACTAATAGAGCTGTTGCAGGTCTAAGTGAATCTAGATACATGGGAATTTTATTGGAGCAGGTCAATATCCGAATTGATGGTCCCAGACAAGTGATTTTTTTTATAGTCTATATTGTCTGAAAGTAATTGGTCAGTAACTTGGAAATTTTTATTGCAAAAAGATGAAGATGGAAATGAATTTTTTTTTTCAAATTTCAGATAACCCCAAACACAGAAGTTTCTTTCATGAATATGATAAATCTGCTGAGTATTTAGGACTGTATGACTTAAAGCTGGGAGTGGTAAGATTTTAATGAAAATTTCACCATGAAGTTTACATGTAAAAATAAAGTTACACTTGTTGACTTAAAAATATTATGTTGCTAAATTACTGATATGGTAAATAATGATTTTTTTTATCATAATGATTTTTAACTCATAATTTCATTCTTTAAAATTTAAAATAACTAAACTAGCTGTTAACTCAACCTTGATTGGGCGAAAAAAGGAACTTTATTTTAAAGGGTTCACCTCAGATATATTGAAGTTAACACACCTACAGAAAAATTTAAGAAAAAATAAATGAAAATAAACAAGAAAGAGGAAAGAAAACATTGTTTGGATTTCAAACTCACATTGATTGAAGATATATGACAAGATATCGAAGCTCAGCTGCTCACAGTAGTTCATATTTTGTACATATTGAGTGTTTGTCGTTTGAATGAATTCTTAGAATTTATGTTAATAATGGTACTTCTTTTGGTAGGAATATGATTGGTTATAAATGTCTCTAAGGCCATATAAAATTAATCTTTAGATTCTCATCCCCGCCTGCCCCTCTCAAAATGTCCCGTCCCGATGTTTTTTATTTTGATTTTTGGGTATTTTCATGTATTTTTATTCAGTAAGAATTTGGGTCAAAGTTTAAGAGTTATCTCCCGTCTGTATTAAAAGTCGCGTGTCGCTATTTATAGCAAAAACGCCATGTGAAGAATGGAGAAAAATCGGCAATAAAAGCAGTTTAAATGTGTAAGGAAAAGATAATTTGTCAGTATAGAGAAGACAGAGAAGAAAAAATAGCATAAACACGTATAGATACCATCACTGGCAGGAGAAAGTATGTAAAGAGATTGTAACTAAGTAAAAATAGACCAGGAAACTGACACCTGGTCAAGTTATACATAACGATCTCCAGCTGTGTGACTTAGCTTTGAAATAAAAAAATCTACAACATCGTAGACAGACTTAAGACAAGGCCTAGATTTTTCAGTAGAATAATTATTAGAACATTTATATAGATTTTGCAAAATAAGAAGTCACGCAAGCACAGTTTATTGGTATCCCCACCTCATTTTGTTCAGGGTGTGCCAAATAATGTGTACTTGATAATTTGTTAATTAACGATAAATATTTAACTTTTAAAGCAAAAATTTTCTTTAAATATTTAAAAGAATATGAAAAGAACTAAATCTATTCATATTTGCATTAAGGTAATGAAAAAAATGTGTATAATAGGGGGCGTCCATTGTTTTGTTGATACTTAGGCCTATATATAAATTAACAATTATAAAAAATAAAATCCGCCCACCCGCCCCAATTGTTTTGCAAATTAGGATGAGAATCTAAAGATTAATTTTACCTGGCCTAATGCTCACTTAAATTTTGCATGAAAATGTAAAGTGGGGGAAGTGAACAGTTATAATAACCATATAAAGAAAGTAGCATTAACAGTGGCTGTAGAAGTTAGACAGTCACTTCTGAGTAAACAGTAAGGCCTAAGGAGATGCTCCAATCTTCCTGGATTCTTGACTTCAGTTCAGCTCTGTACCAGAATTAGCATGTCTTGATTAAGAGTGCCTCTAAGTTCCTGGTATGGATACCAAACTGAGTCATAAATAAAAGAGGTGTAACAATACAGGGAAACAACAATTGTATTGCTCACAAGATCTCACGATACACTTATTGTATCACCATGTATGTATTGTGATACAGTACAAGTTAATTTTAATTGACTTATTTGAAATTTCTACTGAGAAATTTTAATGTAACAAAATGATTTAAACTACTTAAACAAGGTAGCAATGAAAAAATTCAATCCAATGATTATATGCCCACCTAAAAATACTAGTAACTTTGGTTAGGTATCTCAAGATACATGTATTCTTTTTATATTAGCTATAGTAAAACTCAGTTATAATGAAGTCACTGGGACTTATGAAATCACTTTGCTATATCCATAATTTGTTATATCCAACTGGGCAAGTAAGGCATTCTTTAAATTTATGTACTTAGGTATCCAAGATAACTTCGCTATATCTGTGAATTCCCAATATCCATGTTCATACTGAACAAGTTTTACTGTATAAGCATGGAGGTAAGCTAGCAAGAATATGTAAGGACATCAGTTAATTTAACCATTGACAGCTGTATCATGATACATGTTGAATTGCATGAACATATGTTAATATACAGAGTGTTAAGCAAGATGAATAGGAGAGAAAGAGTGTAAGGAAGATGAATAGGTGAGAAAGAGTGTAAGCAAGATTAATAGGAGAGATTTAAGAGTGTAAGCAAGATGGATAGGATAGATTTAAGAGTGTAAGCAAGATGGATAGGAGAGATTTAAGAGTGTAAGCAAGATGGATTGGAGAGATTTAAGAGTGTAAGCAAGATGGATAAGAGAGAACGAGTGTTTAGCAGGATGGATAGGAGAGAAAGAGTTTAAGCAAGACGGATAGGAGAGAAAGCATTTATTTAGCAAGATGTATAGAAGAGAAAGAGTGTAAACAAGATGAATAGAAGAAAAAGAGAGTAAACAAGATGGATAGAAGAGAAAGAGTGTAAGCAAGATGGATAGAGAAAGAGTGTAAGCAAGATGGATAGAGGAGAAAGAGTGTAAGCAAGATGGATAGAGAAAGAGTGTAAGCAAAATGGATAGGAGAGAAAGAGTGTAAGCAAGATTGATAGGAGAGAAAGAGTGTAAGCAAGATGGATAGGAGAGAAAGAGTGTAAACAAAATGGATAGAAGAGAAAGAGTGTAAGCAAGATGGAAGGAGAGAAAGAGAGTAAGCAAGATGGAGAGGAGAGAAAGAGTGTAAACAAGATGGATAGGAGAGAAAGAGTGTAAGCAAAATGGATAGAAGAGAAAGAGTGTAAGCAAGATGGATAGTGGGAAAGAGTGTAAATGAGATGGATAGGAGAGAAAGTGTATTTAGCAAGATGGATAGAAGAGAAAGAGTGTAAGCAAGATGGATAGTAGGGAAAGAGTGTAAACGAGATAGATAGGAGAGAAAGTGTATTTAGCAAGATGGATAGAAGAGAAAGAGTGTAAGCAAGATGGATAGTAGGGAAAGAGATGTATAGGAGAGAAAGACAGTGAGGAAGATGGAACGGCTCATCAACCAAGAGCTGCAGCAGAGATAGCAGGAAGTCTTTCTTTTTTGTCGAGGATTGTCTATATTTTGGTTATACTGGTACAAGCAATTCAAAGAAGTTTTAGCTACTTTTTAAAAAAAAGAACTTTATTTAAATTCTGTACTCATTAAAATACCTGTTTAATTTCTTGATACGTTTATGTCACGGAATAACCCCGGTAAATCTAGGGGTTTACCTGTTGACTGATACGTTGTATCTGCGTAAGAATCTTTAAAACAGAAAACGGGAAACAAAGCCTCGTCCTATGTAGTAAGTTCATCCTATCTTAGGATTTTTCAAAAATTAAGGCTGAAAATGAGCCTTTCGACCTATATACCCCATCGACCTATAACCCAAAAATTACGGTATATTGTAATTGCTATTGCACAATTAAATCATATGTTCTGTGATATGAAGTCTAAGTAGATGTATTTTATGCATGGTTAGAAATTCTAAAATAATTTTATCTGTTGACTGTTATTTTATCTGTTCAAAATGAAATTTTGAATTGCTATTAAACCTAAGTGTAAAAAACACTGTAAAACAGTAAAACAATGGCATTCTAGCTTTAGACATCTTTAAAATTATTGAAACCCATATGAAACACATAATCAATAATGCTGGCATATTAACTAAGGAGTGTTTTGAGGTATTGACAAGAATTGTCATGCAGAGATGGGTCCACCTGACGCTCACATCAAATTTGTGTGAAAGAACACTTAACTAGATGAAATTCAATTTTTAAAGATATCATTTTAATTATTTTGAATTTCTTTTTTTTTCATTTAGAATATTATTAAAAACCCTTTTATCAATGACTTAATATGTACTACAAGGGTTGAATTCTTTGACTATAGCATGATTCCATTGTGCACAATGAATTTCATTGATACTTTTATAAAATACAATATTATTACTGTACAGTTTCCAAGACTTCTTCACACCCGAGACCAAAATCATAGGGTTTCTCTAATTAGAATTGGATTTATAATAGACATAGCTTTTATTACGGTACTTCCCCAGTGGGCCAAAAAAAAGAAAACTTTTATACTTGTTTGCCCATTTAAGATTTTGATTTGCCAGAATCAAATTAAGTGCTAGTGAAATGAAAGTGTCTTCATTTGATGTACATATCTTAATTCTATCTCTCCTTTATTTGACTTTGTTTTTTTCAATGTCTGGACACCACATTTGACACACTTTATGACACTTGACGATTGTTACCACATAGTGATATAGACCTGACAGGGTTCCCTCAATCAGAAACATTTAATGGTGTTTCAAGATGTAGATATATGTGATATATCATGCAACCAAGTAATCTTTATATATAGAGACTCTCAGAGTATGGAATATGAATTGATACTTTTTTTAGTGACCATCCCATAATAAAGGTCTTAGACTTCTTCATTTTAAAGGCATGTTAAAGTCTTCATATATTATGTATGTCATAATGTACATTCTACAATTCATACCAGGACATATGCAGATCATTTTCTTTTATAGGTAAATTGTAAAGATCCAGCTAACTCTGATGTTGACAGATGCACAGAAGATAAAACAGATGCATTGGTTTACACATATAGTAATGGAAACGAACTGCTGGCCCTGGAAATTGAAACCATGTTTGATGTTAATTCAATGATGTCAAATATTTTACAGTAAGTTTGAACTTCTATTTTGATTAAATTTTTTCGAAAGATTCAATCTTCAAGTAAATGGTTAGATTACCTCTGCTGACTGAGGCTTTTACTCTGCAGCTGCCTTATATAATAATAATATGCCCTGTTCACATGAAGAGTTTCGTTAGCAGTGAATTAAAGCAAATTAAATTTCATTCCTATGACACCTAAAGCAAAGTAAACTAATGCGAATTAAAATTTTATTTCTTCAATAAGGCTATTCAGCAAGGCTATTATGATGTCATTTGTAAATCAGGTTATGTATGCAGAGGTGTGTATGTGGTTTTAATTTACGCTATGTATGCGATCAAGCGTTTTCCGCGGAAATTTGTCCAAGCGTACTTAATATAAATGCTAGGCATATAGTGAAAGTATAAGAAATCCCCGTAATTTTCGACATGTGGGTTAAATGGAAATTGAGATTCTATATACTGCAGTAATCATTTTACATTTTAGTGATTAACATAATTTTCCTTGATTTTTCAACCAAATATAGCACAGATCCCTAAATGTATCTGCCAACATGTAGCCTGTGACAATTCTGGCCTAATATGTGTAAAAATTTCACTTAGCATTCACATGAACTTAAATGCAAAGTAATTTAATGCGCAGTAAATAAATTCAAATTAAACTAATTTGCATTAAATTTTGCGTGTGAAGGCGGTTCATATCAAATTCACAGTAACTTTTGTTTAATTCAAATTAAACTCTCTGTGTGAACAGAGCATAAGTTCAGTAAAACTTGTTTAGCATGAACACGTATAATGCGAATTGAAAGAAAAGTTACAGTAAAACTCGTTTAGTATGAACACGGATATAGCGAAGTTTTTCTGGGTCCCCGGCAAAATTCTTAGAAAATCTTTGTAAAATTTTACGGTTATAACGAACTCTGATATAACGAATTTACGGATATAGCGAACTGATTTTGAGTCCCGTAGAGGTTAGATATAATGAAATTTACATCTTTTATAACGAACTTTCAAAGATTATAAAAAAATTAATAAATAGAACTGACTTTATTTCCTTCAAGAATTTTTATATAAAATCCAATTCATAATAAAAACCTTTTTGTAATATAGCTTTCCCTAATATATTTTGTAGTAATACTTGAAGGAAAACATCCATATTGCGAATTCGCTATAATGGTTATACGAATTCCTTATACGGATATAACGAATTACGGATATAGCGAATTAAAGTCACAGGTCCCTAGGAATTCAGTATAACCGAGTTTTACTGTATCTTGTATCCCTAACTACACAAGTTTAACGAATTCCTTATATGGATATAACGAATTACGGATATAGCAAAGTAATTTCACAGGTCCCAGTGACATTATAATCGAGGTTTACTGTATGTACATTTTTCATTCCATCTGTCCATCCAGCATTTGACCAGAATATATTGAAAACCTTCATAAACTACTGGTAGTGCACTAGGAGTCCAGCACAATATTTGACACCTAATTATTGCAATCATTTGAGTCATGTAAACAATATGTTTATGTTAAAATCATTTACTGATGTCTGTCCATCTGTCTGTCCGTGTGTTCGTAGCACATTTTTCTTGCAGTTTTCTCAGTTATTACTGACATCTCAGATTCTTGAAATTTTAGCACAGTCTTTGTTTAATCACGCCATTTGCTAGGATTTAGTTTTGGTTGAATCTAGTTAACTTCTTATTTAAAAAAGTGTCTGTCCATACCAATTTTCTGTTACAGTTTTCTTATCAGAACAAGGGTATAATTTAAGTGAGCTTCTTGGGTATACTAGCCTAGGACACTTATTAGTTTGCTCATATTATAAGAGCTTTCCACTTATTGAGATGATATGTGACTAAATTAATCATTGTTTTTTTTCTAATCTTAAAAGATTGGCTTTACTTCGAGAAGTTCCAATACTACAAAGCAAAGAAGAGAGGGAGAACTTCGTAAACAAACACAAAGGGACTCATGATGTTGTCTTCTCATTCCAGAAAGCCATTGGAACATATGGTTAGAAATCAGTTGTTTTTTTTATTATTTGAAAGCTGTGTATATTTCTGGTAAAACTGTTTTTTAAGCTGACCCAGATTTGACTCCTGTATATCACTTTTTAAAAATTGTTAAAACTTTAAATCATGTTTATTTTCACATAACTATATATGCAATGCTATCTGGCCACAAAAATGTGTTTCTCGTATTAAATTGCTTTGCTTTAAGTTTACCGGAGATTATATATTAAACAATAACCATAATTTGTGAAAATTTTTATTTGCTTATAGATACAATATTACTATCTCATGAATATAGAGAAAATAAAGGGTTGCAAAAATTTGGTAAACTGCAGTAAATGAAAATTTATTTTCAGAACATAGAATTTTCATGGAAGTGGCTTATGCTTTCCATCACAAATTCCAGTTTGCCATTAGTACAGCCACAGAAGCAGTGACAGGACTTATGTACGTCTTGTGTTGAGTTCTGAAATTGAATATTCTTAAAGGATCTGAATACATGAAATTTGAACATGAAGAATGCCTGTGTTCATTGTTGTTAATTTCCGTGGTTATTATTAGGATGACATCAGTGAGGTTATTGATGATTGCTCAGGAATACCACTATCAGCAAAATATTTCTATCTTGGTGTTAAAAGCATGCTACTGAATCAAGTTAATAATATTAGAGTTTGAAATGCATGTTGGTGTTTTTTTTCATGCAACAATTTTCATGTTATTCGTCTTTATACTTTGGTAGTCTTAGAAAACGTCTTATAAAAGTTGACATTTGTATCCTATAAAAGGAAAAACATTTTTTAGGATTAAAAACAGGAATAATTATACCAATGCTTATTGGCATTTAAGAAATGATCATGGACAAAAGTTTATATCATAGAAGATAAAATTACAGAAATAAAAAATATATAAATCATGACAATTTTTCACCTTACCTACAATATATATTTGTTGAATTTGCCATATTTTTATTAGTAAAAATGTTGAATATTTTCCCTATATAATATGATTAACTTTAATCTTTAACTTTAAAGAAATTCTGTGGAAAATTTACTTTTGTGGATTAGAGATCCTTTTATGTCATTTAATTAATTGACTTTTATAAACTTAGGTATTATACATGCTGATTCAAGTTAATAAATTGTTTGTCAGTTTATAAAGTTCTTATTATTCAAATCTTTCCGATGTAAAATTATGACAGTAGGCATTTAGTTTTCCTTGTTATCCTATATCATACATGTAATCAATTTCATTAGGTAGATTTTGTCACTTAATCCTGCTGTAGGCAGTGTTCCTTTACTTAAAAATAATTAAGTTTCTGTATTGGTAGTACCGTAATTAGAAACACTAGGGCTAAAGTGTACTGATTTAAATATTAAGAGAAAAATTGTATTGTTTCCTTTTAGCCCCCACCCGGAGATCTTAGATGAGGCCAAAGTTTGGTTCCTGATGTGTAGTCAGGTCATCAATAAAGAAGATGACTGCTTTATCAAGTTTTATGATGATAAAATGGATTTGTCTTCCCTTGCCAGTTTTATGAGAAAACTTGACACTCCACCAAATGTAGGTCTAATACCTGTTCCTATAAATGTGCAATATATGTAAACATTAATCCTTTCCCATAACTGAAAATTTCATGTAAAATTTGCTAGATTTTTTTTTAAAAAATCTAGTATTACCTGTCTGGCTCTTTCATTTTCTGTAAACTTATTCATCCAATTAATTATATATACTACACAGGTGTGGATTTCAGTGTTACACAAATTTTCCATTTGGGATTTAATTTGTCCATTTCAGTTTGACATTCCTGGTGACGGCATTACTCATCCCTACACCCCTGACCTGGGTCTACATCTGGTGTACCTGTTCTACCGGGAATCTACATACGTCCACCATGTAAAATGTTTATTACTGTTAATGTGTAAGGGTAACATGTTGGCACATAATAATGAATTCTAGATCTCTATTAAATTATCTATCCTTTGAAGATGTCACATAGCTGATGTTCAGTAAAATAAGCTTTGGAGGATCTCAGCTATATAGAAATCTCTTAATTTTCTCCTAACATATTAGTACACAAAATTTGAAGGAAAAAAATGAGTTAGCATTTACAAACATTTTTTTTCTTCCCAATTTATAGCCAAATCTGATCACGACACGATAGTAATGTAATTTTTTAAAACCATTTTTATATTCTTTAGTAAATACCACCTATAAGGTGTGGATTTCAATATTAAGTTTTATGTCCGACTTATAATCAAGATTTTTTCTGGCAAATTTAGTATTAAAAATTACCGAAGAAAATGTCTGGATATAATATATGATGATTTACCGTATAACGGGTAATTTTTACTGCTGAAAATTTTTATGAATTTTTGTTGAAATAGGGTGATTTTATTTTTTATGCATTAAATTTTTACGAATTACATGTCCGTAAAAATAAAAATCATCAGAGGTGAAGTTCCAGATCAATGTTTTAGAGTTTTGAATGCGTTAACATACATATACATGTTTCAAATGTCTGGACAACCCGATGTAAAATAAAAACGAAATTGTTCTCATGATAACGAGTGTCCATTCCTTAAGTAATATGTTTATTCATTTAAATACCTTTATATATCACAGCTGCCTTTATTACTGTTAATGTGTTCAATCAATATTGTTGCATACATATTTTAATGAAAACAAAGAGAGACACTTCATGATAAAGTGAATTCTACACGGATCTATGCATTAATTTATTTTTACTGTCCAAATAAAAAATGGGTCAAAGTCTTGAAAAACGGATATAATGTTCCATAAAATAAAAAGCATACCAACGAGTGTCAGCTACATAGCCTCTAGGTACTTAACTAAATGGCAATGATAGCATTAAAATTCTCTCATAATACATTTTAGTTTTTTACAAAAATTTGAATGGAAAAAAAAAATTAGTAAAAATTAAAAAAAAATTGGTTGTGAAAAATACTAATTTAATAAAGGGAAGTGCATATTTTCTCCATTTTTAATGGATTAAAAAAATGTTTTCTATTAGTGTCATTTCAATTTATAGCCAAAAACATCAATTGATTTACTTGAAATTGGCATAGTAATGTAATTTTTTAAAACCATTTTTATATTCTTTATATAATTAAAATTACTAGGAAAGATTCACTAAGATGTATCTTACTATGGTCATAAGGGACCTTGCTTGTAAGAGACCAAAACTAATTGTCTTGAATTTTTTGTTTTAATTAAGAAACTAAATTAAGGTGTCTCTTTTTCTTTATTCTTTATCTCTCTTTATCTTTATTCTCTTATTCTTTATGCTAAGGGTTTTAAATATAAATGGATTCTTGCTTTAAAAAATTAAAATTTACTTTCCAAAGAATTCCTTTATTCCAGAAAAGAATTTTATAATCGTCATCGAATATTTCTCACCGTGATCTTTATAGTCTCTGTATCTATCAGATTATATCTTAATCGTCGCTCTGCCCCTACGCAAAGTAATTTTAATAAGAAACCAATTAATTAAAATTAAATCTTTGAACCCACTTCTCTTTACTGAGAAACAAAATCTTGTTATTAAATTTAAGGACTTGAATTCCTGGTTAATAAGCTTGGATATATCTATATGTAAAAAATTACCAATTTTTATAGACAGTTCTGGTTATGGCCACTTTGATATATTTTAAAGAGTCACAATTAATAATCAGAATTTACATTTATGTTTAATTTTTAATGCATTATATTTTTGACATTTAAGGGAGGCCACTCTTCCTGAGGCAGTAGGATTGGATGATTTTCCTCCAAATACACCAGCTGTTGCTGTGCAGTACAAATCAGAGGTGAAAAAAATTTCTCTCTTTTTCAAATTATACAGGCTTTTGTGACTATATTTATTACAAAGTAATATATTTCTCTTTGGTATCTATAAGAATTGCATGATAAACATTGCCAACATAATGAGTTTTTCTAGTTCAGTTACATCAATCTTCATGTTATGCATGTGCTCTAAGCAATATATATATATTGAAGACATAAGCATTAGAAATGAGTTTGTGTTACCTCTGCACAGAGCCATGGATCCTCCTTTTTTGTGCTTCACAAAAAACAGAAGATATATGATGAGTACCTGGTATAATAATTTTATATGGACAGAATCCATTCTCTTAAAAACAGAAAAAAGATATCATTAAATGTGTACCATTTCAGAAAAATCTGGTTCACATGACTGAGGCCTGGTCAATAGATAGTGCTTTTGAGTTCTTTGCCAGTAAACTACATGAATACGAGGTCAGACCGAGAGAACAGGAAGGACAGGGCGTTGGTGATGTGATGGGGGATGAAGTGGAGGGTCAGACTTATCCTGAGGGGGAGCTGGAAGAAAAGGACAGATACAGTGAGGAAAGTATGTGTAGATTAAAATTTGCATATTTACGGATGAAAAAAAACATCAATTAGTTGACAATTTGCCAATATAACTTTCAAAAGATTTAATTTAATTAATGTTCATTTTTCTTGTAATAAGTGTTAAATTACATTTATATTTCAAGTATGCCTGATATTATTGGGTATGCATTGATTTTTTCCACATATAATTTGTTTTTTCAAAGGTGTATAATATTAATTATTTTAAAATACATACTTAATATCATTTTATCAATTAAATTTTCAGAAAAGAAAAATAATTAAATATTAATATTTTATAGCACAAGTTATGGCAATAGTTATGAAAAGAGAATGGAGAATGTAAAGTATGATTTATTAAATAAATTAAAAAATGATTTAATAAATGCATTTATCAATATAGATATAAAAAAAAAATTGCCCCCCCCCCAAAAAAAAATCCACATACATGTGTATTGGGATTATTACTTTTTAATAACTAAGACAATAAAGAGATTGATAGAAAAAATGAAAAGAAGAGGGAGTGAGTTTTTAATTTAATTAATGCTAATTATTAAAACTTATGTAGTCTACGTACATGATTGAAATTGAGATAAGTGCTTTTATGCACACATGTTCATAATTTCTTATACGCATAAGTACAATGCATGAGCACTTGTTTCAGAATAAATATGTTATCATTATAGTATAGGTTAAAAATTTTTCTGAAACAAATGCCTGTGGTACAATGCCATAGAAGTCTTAGAAGTCTTACATGATAAATTTGTTATTTGATAAAAATAAGTATTTTATTACAAAAAATCAAAACATTATAAAACACAACTCAGATAATCCTCTCTCGTTGTAACATTAAATTTGTTAAAATGATCATAATGTAATTTGATTTATTTAATACACTAGAAATTTATTAAAAATGTCCAAAACTGATATTAAACTCATAATGTACCCCAAAAAAATTGTTTAGAAGTAGAGTCTTAGAAAAATGTCCATATTCATTTACAATTGCTTGTTTTGAAGTGATATTTCAGAATTGTGGCTCAGTGGGGAGACACCCATGTACGGTACAGATTCCATATTTCATAAGCATTACCAGTACCTTACTTTTGCATGAATGTATTAATCTTCTCAAATATACCAGTGATACAGAGTGTAATAGAACCTGCACTTTAACATTTCAAATAAGCTAAAATATCAAATCACAGAAATTAAAAATGAATAAAATCATAGATATAAAAATTTAAAAAATGACAAATTTAATTAATGCAAATGAAAATTTTAAAAAATTATAATTTTTTATTATATGTGTATTAATTAAGTTGATTAATTTAAGATATAAATTTATTAATATTGATTTCAATACCATTCATTAAATTGTCAGACTTTTTCTGGGGTTCATCTAAAACAGACTATAGGTCACCTGTAATTAATTTCTTTTGTTCTCTCCCTCCCCTTACATCAGAAAATATTATTACTGATGAACAATTTGGATTTCAGGATGGCTGATCAACTACTGACGCGATATTTGCACTTCAAAGTTTAATATCACAAAAGTTGAATAATAAACATTGTTTATATTGCTGTTTTATTGACTATAAAAAGGCATTTGATACAATCAACCAAGAAAAATCATGGTATAAATTGATCAGATTGGGAATCACCAGAAAATTTCTTCAAATTATCGGATTGCTTTATGTTGACATGCACACCTCAGGGGCGTCGGCAAGTATTTGACATTGGGGAGGCGAACTAGATTGAAAGGGGGGGTTAACTGACGTGTTTTTACTTAAGGATTTCCATCCCTAATGGGACCAAATTCCCTACCCTTACCCTACCTTCCCTACCCTTAAATGTCTGTCAAGTACATAATACTCTGATATTATATTATAGCATTTGTATAGAGGAAAAGCCCGCGAGAAATTTTCAAAAATTTCATTAATTAAGCAGTAGTTAATTAATAAAGATTGCATTGAAGTCTATGGGGAAAAACGTTTTTTCAAAATAAAAATTCAAATAATATGAATATCAATAAATCCTGCGGTGGAAAGATGCATTGAAACATTAAAAATAGAATGACAATTGGAAACAATTTTTTTACCGGCTAAAATTTTTTAATTGAATTTTTAAAAAAAGGGGAGATAAATCTTACCAAAATTCAAAGTCATGAATTAGGAACATCCCACTATACATACTTATAGTAATAAATGGGAAGTATGTCTAAAAAAAAAAGAGTATTCAATGCCTACATATCTGTTATGTTTTCAATTTCATTGAATTTGTTCCTATTAGGGATTGAAGACCTTAAATTCAAATTTCTACCAGTATATTGATATATTTTCCCATTCTGTCAATGTTTCAAAGACTCCACCTGATTAAAAAAAACAAAATCGTTTTATATGATTTTATTTACGTCATGTCATAAGCACATATGAGAAGCACGTAGTTGAATAAATATTATTTTGAGATGCATATATACTTATCTTTAAAAAATCAACTAATAAGCATTAATAAACACTACATAAATGAAATCTGTTCATTTAATAATACACAATGTCACTGCACTTTAAAAGCGTCCAAAAATGAAGTTCCGTCCATCCCGTGCTGACACAAAGTCGTTAGCAACTGCCAAAATGTTCAACGCATCTGTAGCCTCCCTGTGCGTGTGCAGGATCATCAAATGATTCAGCCTTTCCTGGGACATAGTGACACGAAGATAAGTCTTTACTCGACGCAAAGCAGACAATGTTCGCTCACTTGTAGCGTTAGTGGCTGGCATCACTAAAATAAGTCTCAGTAGAGTCACAATCTCGGAGAATAGGCATCTGGAAGCTGGAGACATCTGAGACACTAAGGTCACCAAAAAGGAAACGGACACAGTTGAGGAATCATTTAAGTTGTTTCGTGCGAGCGTTGTAAATGTATCCAGCTGTGAAGAAAGAGAGGTCTTGTCCAAATCATCTCCATAGAACTTTAAGACAAAGTCCAAATCTTCTTTGTATGTCTTGTCGCCACGCACAGACTTCAGAAGAACGTCCTCTAGATGGCGATACACTTGATAGCCTTTTAATTTCAATATATTATTTTTTTTTTAAATCGTTTTTTCTCTTTTAAAGTGTAATCATTGTACATTAACCAATGATTTCAACACAATCAATATATTAAAATTTGTATCCTTTCAAAATATCATTGAAAAGATAAAAAAAAATATATATATATCTTTTAATGTACTTACTTCGTCATATAATGTAACCATGCGTATTGTTTAAACCAAGTTGGGTTGAATGAACGCAGTTCTGGATTCTTCTTGCCGAAAGAACGCTTAGGAAATTTAAAATTAACAGGTTGATTAAAACTTTTTAATCCGGCTATTTTTGAAATTGAAATGTAGAATAAGTGTAATAATATTTTTAAAAAAAAAACATCTCAAGTTGTTTTAGACAGTGATTCTAACTAATTTCCAGTTTTCCCCCTTTAATTTATTAATATGCTCATACGTTGTAATATTTTCGATAATTGTTTAATGACTTGCAATCATGTTGGTTCATCAAAGCTTCCAAACATCGATCGGCCAATTAATTGGACAATGAACAATTTGTAGCAAACCCGCACTTACAGCAATCATAATGACTACCCTGTTAATTGTGTACACACGCCAGGTACAGGTATATCCCGTTTTGACGTCTGTGTAAACAATAGCTTGTACACACTTTGCCGCTTCATTGACCACAGAACATGCAGAATGCCGTTATACTCGCCGCTCCAATGAGCAGATTTTGCCGTTTAAAAAATCATTTTAAAAGAAAAACAATGTCACTATTTTTTTTTTTTTGCAAAATTATTGGGGCGGCGACCGCCGCCCCTGCCGCCCCTTTGCCGACGCCCCTGCACCTGTGTCAAGAATGCAGGCGAGATATCCGAAGAATTCCCAGTAAAGGTTGCTACAGGGAGAAGTATTATCGCCGATATTATTCAATATGTATATTAACGACTTGGAAAAATCACTTCATAAATGATAAATGCCTATCTGTAGAATTAAGGGAATTAAATCTTTTTTGTTTTAATGTTCACAGATGACCCAGTAATATTTGCTAACTTGCCAGTAGAATTACAGAACTTGCTTGATGCTTTACAGGGATATGTATCCTTGTGGAATTTGACCGTTAACACCACAAAAACCAAAATTTTAGTATTCAGGAAAGGGGGATGCGTTAATTTTTCATGGACATATAAAAATGAAGTTGTAGAAATTTTCAATTCTTTCAATTACCTTGGATTATATATATGCTTAAACTACAATGGTAAATTTAACATTACACAAAATAAATTAGCTGAACAAGGTCAAAAACACTATTTGGTTTAAACCGTAATATTCAGAAATTTGAATTCAACACCGAAACCCACTGTCAGCTCTTTGATACATAGGTTGGTATCGTTTTATCGTATGATAGTGAAATCTGGGGTTTTCATAAATCTCCATTAATGGAAAGACTGCATTTATCCTTTTGTAAATATACCCTTGGTGTTAGGCCCAATGCATGCACTTATATGATTTATAGAGAATTGGGGTGATATCCACATATTATACAAAGAAAACTAAAAATCATGAAGTTCTGGTGTAAACTATTAACAGAAAACTGCATTTTAAAGTCTTCATACTGATACCTGTGACATGATGCAAAAAAATGGGTCGAGAACACGTAAAAACTGGGTGTGTGATGTTTAGGTTGGGTCAGGGAGAATTTTGGATGAATCAATTAACAAGTTATAAACTTTGCTCATTTCATGGATATATATAAAAACAGAATCCTAAATATACATCTCCAAGAGTGCAATGCAGTTATGGATAATTCGTCAAAATGTTTTTTATCTAAGCACATTGTCCAATCTGATTTCTGTAAAATGCAACCCTATTTAACAAAATCTTTTCAAAGTAATTCAAAAAAGCATATTTCCTGCATCAGACTTTCGTCGCACTATCTGAACATAGAATGCGTAAGGTACCAAGGCAAGAGCAGAAAAGATAGAATATGCGATATTTGTGATAGTCGTCTAATAGAAGATGAACTTCATTTCATTTTCCAATGCCCTAGATATTTTAATCCAAGAAAAAAAATATATAAATGAATATTATTACAAATTGCCAAGTACATTTAAATTACAATGTAATCCAATTATTGGGTACAACCGCATATCTACTTTGGTTGGTTTAGGGAAATTTAATGCCGTAATATTACGTAACGAAATATTTATCAGGTTGACCTACATGTAATTTCTATCTGTGTAATCTCTCTATCTTATTGTCAGATGTCTGTATATCAAAACAGCATTGTTGTAAATTATCATAACTTTGAATTATTATGTGCTGTTAAATCTAAAATCATGATAATTGTATTCTATAAATGAGTGGAACAGTGGGATTGAGGAACAATTGACCTGGGGTTTCACACACACCCCCCCCCCTTGTTTAGACTCATTGAGGGTCAATTGTATTATATGTTGTATGTTATATTTGTCATTTTGTAAACTGATGGGCTGTATATCTGTGTTCCTACTAAACAAGTTTTACTGTATTCTAAATCATTTAAATCATGGGGATAAATGATTTGCATTGAAGTATATTAGGAAAATCTTTAAAAAAATAATCATCTGATGAAGAACCAATAGACTCTAGAGAAGATAAAACGTAGATTGAAGCTTTCTTATTTACCTGGTAATGTAGATTTTTAAAATTTTCATTTCACTCCTGTGATATGGAATCACCATTTACCGGTATCATGGCAATATAAAAGTCTTTACATTATCTTTTGATGACCAGCAGAGGTGCTAAAGTAACTCAGGTGAGCATTAAGGACAATGGGCTTCTTGTTTTTTTAGTTGAGACTGAAGATGACCAGGTAGCTGAGGCAATACAGAGGGCCAGGAAAATTAAAATGGACCTGGAGCTGGTAGAGAGACTTACAGATAAAACATTTACCCCCACCATCCAGGAGAGAGACCTTGTCTTTACTCTCTTCTATCTGCCATGTAAGTGTCTACTATGGTAACTTAAACATATGAAAATGAATTCACCTATAAGAACTTCCTCTGTGTAATGTTTACATTACTATATTGATTAGTATATTTGTTTACTACTCTCCGACAGTTGATCACAGAAGTCTGGCCATTCTGCGGGCCTATGGAGAAGCTGCCAGGAAGTTTGAGAACCAGACAGACAGACCGTTTACTGTTGTGAACTGCCATGACTGGACAGATGTATGTGCTACAGAGAACATAACTCGATACCCAGTACTGAAAATCTACGAACAAGGAAAATTCCTGAAAGACTACGACGGCATGCTGAGCATTGAAGATGTTATGAATGCTTATAAACTGTAAGTATTGGTAGCTTCAGATTATATATAATTGCAATATTTATACCCCCCGCAAACGAAGTTTGGGGGTATATAGGAATCACCTTGTCCATCTGTCTGTCTGTCTAGCTGTCCGTCTGTCTGTCTGTCTGTCCGTCTCTCTGTGCAAACATGTCCGGTCCATATCTTTCTTACGAAGGAACATTAGAATCTACTACTCCACACAAAGATGGTCTACGACCCAAGGGTGTTTCATGACCTTGACCCAAGGTCATTTTGAGAAGTTCTAGGTCACTGGAAGAAAAATTTCATAATTGGTGTCCAGTCCATATCTTTCTTATGGATAAACTTGGTAGGTTCTCATTTCACACAAAGATTGCCCATGACCCAAATGTGTGTCATGACCTAGAACCAAGGTCATTTGGGGAAGTTCAAGGTCACTGGAAGAAAAATTTCATAATTCGTGTCCGGTTCATATCTTTTTTATGGATAAACTTGGTAGGTTCTCTTTTCACACAAAGATTGCCCATGACCTAAGGGTGTGTCATGTCCTTGACCCGAGGTCATTTAGGGAAGTTCAAGGTCACTGGAAGAAAAATTTCATAATTCCTGTCCGGTCCATATCTTTCTTATGGATAAACTTGGTAGGTTCTCATTTCACACAAAGATTGCCCATGACCCAAATGTGTGTCATGACCTAGAACCAAGGTCATTTGGGGAAGTTCAAGGTCACTGGAAGAAAAATTTCATAATTCGTGTCCGGTTCATATCTTTTTTATGGATAAACTTGGTAGGTTCTCTTTTCACACAAAGATTGCCCATGACCTAAGGGTGTGTCATGTCCTTGACCCGAGGTCATTTAGGGAAGTTCAAGGTCACTGGAAGAAAAATTTCATAATTCCTGTCCGGTCCATATCTTTCTTATGGATAAACTTGGTAGGTTCTCATTTCACACAAAGATTGCCCATGACCTAAGGGTGTGTCGTGACCTTGACCCGAGGTCATTTGGGGAAGTTCAAGGTCACTGGAAGAAAAATTTCATAATTCCTGTCCGGTCCATATCTTTCTTATGGATAAACTTGGAAGGTTCTCATTTCACACAAAGATTGCCCATGACCTAAGGGTGTGTCATGACCTTGACCTAAGGTCATATGTGCAAGTTCAAGGTCACTGAAAGAAAAATTGTATGATTCATGTTTGATGCATATCTTTATTATGGAAAAACTTACTACTTCTGAAAAACCCAGCGGGGCGGTTATTTATTTTGTCCCGTTTGGACAGTTCTAGTTTTAAAATTGACAGAAATTTACATTTTTTTAATAACCTGAATCTCAAAAAAGAAAACAAATAAAAACAAACTTTATATGGGGTATTTATTTTACAGCTTGAAACAAGAGAAACCTGTTTCTCTGGCCGATAAAGAAGAAATTGAGAAATTCTTCACAGGGATCCTTCCTGATGGATCCAACATCACAGGGACTGTGTCTGTAGTAGCCCTCTTTGATGATCAGAATAAAGGTGTCTTACTTTGTTTTTAAATAAGATTGGAATTTGTAATACTTTTAATACTTTGAAATAAATTTTGAGATAGCATTTTGTTTTAATGTGATTTTGTGATTTTTTAGGGGTGCAGACTTATAAAGAAGTGGCCAGGAGCCTGGGAGATAAATTCACTTTTGGTATAAACAGTGACGGACAAGGAAAAGATTTGTAAGTAGTCAGTAACCCCGAATGCAAAGAACATCCACTAGATATGCTAGTGCCACATTAAGCACAATATACTGAAATGACCGTAGTTTACATTATCAGGTATAAAGTTCACTTATTTTTTTTCATTTGATACCTACATGTAATTGTGAGTGCTTGGATTCACGTAAATGCCAAGGTGAATGATTCTTTTATGAAGATATAACATATTTTATATCATGCTCAAATTATTCACCATTTCTTACATTTGCAACCTTATGGAATATATAGTGAAAACCAAAAGTTAATCACAACCCCCTACACCTTCATACAGTATTTGAGACAGCAATTATTTTCCTCAAGTTTATAAAAATGCAAAACTTTGACAAATGGCTGTAAATATATTTTATTGTCACAGTGCCCAGAAGTCTGGCTGTGGGGACCTCCCTTGTGTGGTTATCCTGAGGAGGAATGACCTTGTTCAGCCGTACGTGACCTTCAGTGGAGATCTGACCTCAGCTGAGGAGCTCAGCAGCTTCATTGAGAAATCCCTTAATCCTTCACTGGTAAATGAATTACAAAGAAGATAAGGCATGCTGCATACTATCTTTTATGATGCCAACTTGTTTTGCTGAGTTGGTTCTTCTGTACACATTCATTTACTGGAAGTTACTTTCATGAAAATATGTTAACTATACTGTTTATTTTGTTTAAGAATACAGACAGTCATGATTTTAATTGAAAACTAGACTCCATAAGTCATGTACATGTATTTTATCATTCTTTAGGCTGAACTGACACCCTCCATCTTGCCCCAACTATACAAGCAGAACAGGCCATTTGTGATCAGCTTTGTAGATGACACAGAATCCTCCAGACAGCTGTTAGAACCCATTCAGAGCCTTGTTAAAGCCCAAGCTTACCCTGATCTCATTTTCTGTTTACTACAGTGAGTGTACATTTTTCAAATACAGATATTTTAATTAAAGAAAGTCAAAATCTTAACATGAGCTGATCTTTCCTGTATATTTTTTGAAAGTAAACGTACATGACATGCAAGTAATTAATTTATGGTTGTAAAAATTAAATTTTTAACACCTGAGGTATGCAATGTTTTACATGGATATGAAAGCATCATTTGAGTGTTTATATCATGGATACCTTTTTGTCAGATCTGGTGATATTAACAGCTTTGGGAGACAGATTTTACAGACCTATCAGAATTCTACCTCCTCCTCCGTACCAGCTCTGTCTTATGCTCATCTGAGAGAGGTCAGGGCCAATTCAAATCTTTCTTTAATATTTAGATTCAGATTAGAATTTAGGTATTTTCTCCTGATTGAAGTTTATTGAGAAAGGTTTATTTGCATAAGACTATTGAGATTAAGGAGGCTGGGGGGTCAATAAATTAACCACAAATTAACCACCAGATTTAGCTTATTTCAACTATCATTTGGCAAAGAAAAAATTCATACATTTTAGTTTTAAAATTTGATCATTTTTGTACAGTGGAGCCTCATTTATCCGGACGCTTTGGTTCCTAGTCAATTTGTCCGGATATGTGAAGTGTCCGGATACCTGAATTACCAGTTAATCAGAACAAAACAACATTAAAAAATTCCTTTCCGATGAAAAATCGTCCGGATACTGAAGCATCTGGATATCTGAGGGTCCACTGTATATCTTTATATGGAGCTCTTCTTTTAAAGGAGATCAAAATAGTCTGAAAATGGCTGCCACCCCCAGCCTCTTTAATAGGAATGTATTATTTGTTTTTAGGGGAAAGTGTACAATTACTTAGACAAGTCGTTTACAAAGGATCAGATAGAGGCCTGGCTGAAGGACATACAGAACCAGAATATTGATGATAAAACACTGTGTAAGTCACCTACAGCAGTTATAACACATCCGTATACACTTACCTAATGATTGAGTGAAATGTTACTGCTGTAATATATAAATCACACTTTTAAATTCATAAATCTGTTTTAACAAATTTTATTTGTTTTAAGGAATTTCAAAACTTGTGATAAGGAATAAATATTGTTTGAACAAATGCTGCAATTTATCATATTGAAGTCAAAATTGATGATTAAACTGTTACATGTATTACAAATTTAATTTGCTATAACAAATTCAAAAAATTGTTTTAATGAAATATATTGTTATATCAAATCCTAAACCTGGTATTTTTAGTTTTGCTGAAGGATGGCACTTATAAACCAAGGATTCAAGGCTATCATTTCCTTGAATTTATAAAAGAAAATGAAGAGATGAAGAAAAAGAGCCAGGGTAGAAAAGTGGATCCAGATGTACATGCTGCAAATGTACATGGAATAGGTAAGACCAAAGAAAAGTATCCAGACAGGCAGGCTGCCTACAAACACAGAAAAAGGTAAGACCAAAAAAAGTATCCAGACAGGCTGACTTCCTACTCACACAGAATAGGTAAAACCAAGAAAAAAGAATCCAGACAGGTTGGCTGCCTACAAACACAGAATAGTAGCCATACAGACTGACTTCCTACAAACACAGAATAGTAACCATACAGGCTGACTGACTGCCGCCTACAAACACAGAAAAAGGTAAGACCAAAAAAAGTATCCAGACAGGCTGACTTCCTACTAACACAGAATAGGTAAAACCAAGCAAAAAGATTCCAGACAGGTTGGCTGCCTACAAACACAGAATAGTAACCATACAGGCTGACTGACTGCCTACAAACACAGAATAGTAACCATACAGGCTGACTGACTGCCGCCTACAAACACAGAATAATAACCATACAGGCTGACTGACTTCCCGCAAACACAGAATAGTAACCATACAGGCTGACTGACTACCTACAAACACAGAATAGTAACCATACAGGCTGACTGACTTCCTACAAACACAGAATAATAACCATACAGGCTGACTGACTTCCCACAACACAGAATAATAACCATACAGGCTGACTGACTACCTACAAACACAGAATAGTAACCATACAGGCTGACTGACTACCTACAAACACAGAATAGTAACCATACAGGCTGACTGACTTCCCACAACACAGAATAGTAACCATACAGGCTGACTGACTTCCCACAACACAGAATAATAACCATACAGGCTGACTGACTTCCCACGAACACAGAATAGTAGGACAATAAGGGATTCAGACAGGCTGATTGTTTACAAACACATGATAGACAGACAACAAGAAACCAGACAGGCTGGCTGTCTACAAACACAGGATAGACAGACAACAAGGACTTCAGACATGTTGGCTTCCAACAAACACAGAATAGTAAGACAATGAGGGATCCAGACAAAATGGTTGCCTACAAACACAGGAAAAGTAAGACAAGGAATTCAGACCGGCTGACTTCATACAAACACAGGATAAGACAACAAGGGATACAGATAAACTGGCTCACTATACAAACACAGGAAAGATTAAACAACAAAGGAATTAGGATACAGGCTCGCTGTCTACAACATATATGGAATAGATAAGACTAAGAAGCTGGCTACTAATTACATGGAATGAGTGAATCCAGATAGGATGATTACCTGCAAAAGTGGAACAGTGAGGGAAAAGGGGGCACAGACAGGCTGGCTGCCTACAAACATGGAAGAGACAGGGAAAATAAAAGAATTCAGACATTATTGTTGCCAAACAAATATAGGATAAGTAATGCAAAAATAGAGGACCCAGACCTGCTGGTTGCCAAAAAATTGGAATACATGTAGTTTATTACTATAAAAATTGGGGATCCAGATTTGTTGACTGGCAATTAACACATGAAACAGGTCTGAAAAAAGTCCTGCAGATTTTTGGTTTTACAGCAAGCTTAAATTCTGAACTGTATAGATCAATTAAATGTCCTTGAAAAGTTTGTTAAATATCTTTAATACCAAGTGTATGGGTCTCTTAGCTTATCTATTGCTTTACATTTTAGGATTTGACAGTGAGGGAAATGAAGTAGACCCAAGGAATCAAGACAATAAAAAGGAGGAAACTGTGGATGACTCAGAGGTTTGTTACTGACACATTTTCTTTATGCTTAATGATAAAGATGAAAAAATGTTATTTCTTACAGCTTTAGTGCAGTGAAATCTTATCTGTTGAAAATTTATCATCACTTGTATCTTGACATAAATTCTTTAGATCTATTTTATAGTACATACTCATTTGATTATAAGTTCATCTGAGCCAAAGGCTTAACTGAATTTTTCTAAGCAGACTTTTTTTACTTTTAAAAATTTCATTTGTTATACTTTTACAATGGACTTTTATGAAATATTCATAAATGTGAGCAAATTTTAATTTTTGAAATTATTTTATGTCTTTGTACCTATTTAAAAGATAAAATTATTTTTTTCTTAAAAAAAAATTCAATAAAATTACTGCCTTGCCATTGAAGTATTTGGAAGATCTATTAGATTAATGATGGATATAGAGGTAGATTCAAGTTTCTTTCCAACATGGCTTTAGCAATAGAATAGGGCACATGTAAAGAAGGAGGATTCAAGTTTTAGGATAGGAAATGCATACATAACATGCCAACATTCCAATTTTATGTCATTTTAGATAAGGAGGGAGCTGATTGAGCTACAGAAATCTCGACTGTATCATCATGCAGAAGGAAAACACAAACCCTCACACAGGAAGCCTGAGGACCACTCAGATACCCCAAGACATACCCCCGAGTCTATACCCCCTACCCCAGAGACTGGGGGGTCGGGGTACCCAGCTCCAGAGGATACTAGTCCCTCCTCTGAAGGTTCCACCCCGAGTCCTCCAAAGAAAACAATCATTCATGACGATCTATGATTTGCGGATTCTAATTCATAGTTATATTTATTTCATAATTTTGGGTGTGGTAGCTTATTTATGTGCACATGCACCATGTATAAAAGCAATCCCATATTTTAAGATACATGTTCAGGAAAGGCCATTGTAACAATCTGTTAAAAGGTTGTTTTGCATATAAATGCAATGAATAAATTAAGTAGGTCCCTTTTTTAAAAATTTTTAAATCAAAACACATACATGTTATACATGTAACTAATGCTTAATTTCTTTTGATATGTAAAGAAATATTTTTTCTTCTTTTCCCCAACTGGAATTTCTTCTCTTTTTTTTTTATCTCAGAGTATTCATGTTATATTTTTTAGCTCACCTGAGCTGAAAGCTCAAGTGAGCTTTTCTGATCACCTGTTGTCCGTCTGTCCATCTGTCTAGCTGTCTGTCTAGCTGTCCGTCCGTCCGTCTGTAAACTTTTCACATTTTCAACTTCTTCTCAAGAACCACTAGGCCAATTTTAACCAAACTTGGTACAAAGCATCCTTGGGTGAAGGGGAATTTAAATTGTTAAAATCAAGGGCCAAGTTCCTTTCCAAGGGGAGATAATCAATAATTTACAAAAATAGGGTGGGGTCATTATAAAATCTTCTTCTCAAGAACCACATGGCCAGAAAAGCTGAAACTAATGTGGAAGCATCCTGAGGTAGTGCAGATTCTAAGCTGTTCAAATCATGACCCCCGGGGGTAGGGCGGGGCCACAATGGGGAATCCAAGTTTTACATAGAAATATATAGGAAAAAACTTTTAAAATCTTCTTCTCAAGAACCACTGGGCCAGAAAAGCTGAAACTTAGGTGGAAGCATCCTGAGGTAGTGTAGATTCTGAATTGTTCAAATCATGACCCCCGGGGGTAGGGCGGGGCCACAATAGGAAATCCAAGTTTTACATAGAAATATATAGAAAAACACTTTAAAAATCTTCTTCTCAAGAACCACTGGGCCAGAAAAGCTGAAACTTATGTGGAATCATCCTGGGGTAGTGTATTTTCTAAATTGTTTAAATCATGACCCCCAGAGGTAGGGCGGGGCCACAATAAGGAATCCAAGTTTTACATAGAAATATATAGGAAATACTTTAAAAATCATCTTCTTAAAAACCACTGGGCCAGAAAAGCTGAAACTTATGTGGAAGCATCCTGGGGTAATGTAGATTCTGAATTGTTCAAATCATGACCCCCTGGGGTAGGGCGGGGCCACAATAGGGAATCCAAGTTTTACATTGAAATATATATGGAAAAATCTTTGAAAATCTTCTTCTCAAGATCCACTGGGCCAGAAAAGCTGAAACTTTGGGGTAGTGTAGATTCTAAATTGTCCAAATCATGACCCCTGGGGTATTACAGAGGTGGGATCTGTTAAAGAACAGCATGGCCAAAGTTTCTCAGGTGAGCGATGTGGCCCATTGGCCTCTTGTTTATTATTAATTATGTGTAAGAAGTTCATTTTCATGAATGAAATATAGTAAATATTTAATCACTATTTTATTATAGGGATGATTTTAATGCAAATAATGCAAACTCTCTAAATAGTAATACATGTACTATATATAGACTGCAATTGAACAATTAAATAATATATTTCCATGGGAATTAGTAGGAAAAAATAAATGATATCAGTGTAGAATGCATAATAAAATGCTTTATAAATGTTTGAAATGTATAAACAGTTCATTTTTCTTTTTCTTCCTTATTTATTTTTGGAAATTGCTCAAAACAATTCATATTTAATGTATACAGGATAAAATTTTGTTAATATTTTATTATTATTATGATTATTTTATTGGTAGGCTATGAGCCAGATTTACTAGTATTGAATAACTTGTTTTAAGTCTATGTATCTGGAACTTGAATATGTAAGGTGCAAGTTTTAGTTTCAACTCTCAATCATAAAGAATGTTGAATGTTGAATTTTTTCTGGTATTATACAACTGAACATTCATATTTAGTGACATAAATAAGTGCCATAGATTTGAAAAAAAAAAAAAAAAAAAAAGCAGGTTCCATTGTTTATATTTTATTACATCTATTTTTTGTTGAATACTATATGTAATTTTCCTATGTGTGATACAAGATATTGTTTACAAAAGGCATTTTTTTTTCTTTTTTACCATGAACATTTTTTCTTCTTTTTCTGATCATATATATTCTTACATTTATAAACTTTTATAATTCTGTGTTCTGAAGTGACATCAAATAGGGGATAATCATGCAGATTTCATGCTACTTGTATAAGAAGTTTGGTAAACAAGGGGAGCATAATGCCTACAACACAATCAAAGGTGAAATGATATTTCATTTTACATTAAAGGAAACAATTACAATGAAGCGCATTGAAGTGGTAAAATTTTCCATTTGGATGAAACGTTCTGAGTCATGTTTTGAACGTCAATGATAACATAATGACACGCCCATTTCTTTAGAAACGAAAAAGAAATATTCGTTGTAATGTTTAAGGACATGAGTTACAAATTTTTAAAAGATTTTTAAAGTTATGAGAGAGAGAGTTAGAGAGTTCACGCTTCTGTTAATCACGTATTTCAGCGAATTTCTCAGTAATTATTTATTTTATCATGTTTATTGGAGTTACCATAACACATGTATCGGTCGAACACGTGCTTACTCGGTGTTTATGTAGACTGTCAATTTCATTGGCCATTATATTTATGTAATACCTGTTCTGCGCGTATTCGAATGAACCATTTGACCGATTTTTTCCTTTCTAAAGAAATGGGCGTGTCATTGTATAACAATCATTGTTCTAAAGATAGTTCAAAACGTTCCAGTCAAACGGAAAATTTTACCACTTCAATGCGCTTCATTGTATGTAAAATATCCACAATTTGAAAAAATTTGACTAAAAATTAAAATTATTGTATATGAAATAATAACATATGCACACCAAAGAGGCAAAAGAAGTCATTTTCTAATACAATATAACAGATAAAATAATAAAAAGTTAAGAATCAGAAAGAATATTTAACACAGAAGTGGATATTTCTGTTGCATAAAGCGTAAAATAGTAAATTAATCAATGAGCATGGTGGCGGAACATAAACCATTTTTCCAGAGTTTCTCCAGCTTACCTGGTATATTTTGGGATTTGAATCAGATCTATTTATTATATCACATATGCTTCTATTCTTTTATATTTTACCCAGCAGTTGGCTCTGAGCTGGGGCCATCAGTTGAACATGAAAATGCTTGTCTTTTGCTTTTTGTACCATTAAGTCTTTTTATTTCATTTTTTTTTGAGGTTTTTATATTAATTTTCTTCATTTGATGTAAGATTAACATGTCCAAGAAATCAACCTTTCAACTACAAACTGCTATAAGTGTCCTTTTACAAACTGTCAAATGCTAATTAAAGCTCTCACTGATTCTTAGGGAACAATAATATGTTATCATGTAACTCTTATTTTAAGAAAAACAATTATGTGTTATATATTCTAAATTCTATTTTTCATTACATAAAAACATTCCAAGTTTGTATATCATGTACATTGTAATTCTATTGCAGCAGATTCATATAAAGGTCTTTGTTTTAGTTTATCTTTAAAAAATGCAAGAAAAAATTTATATATAAATAAAAATACTAGTTGTGTAATGACTATTTTGGCTGAAGGGAAGTAAAATTTCTGGATCCCTTTCAGTGAACAATACCAAAAACTACTCAGATATTGAATATTTACGTTATTCCTTTTTGTATAAAAATATAATTTTGGAGTGGTGTATTAATTTTATGATAAAATTTGTTCTTTCAGTTATGACCATATTTTATTTATTTGTAATAAAATACAGTTTTGAAATCAGAATTGATATTTTAAGTGGATGCTGAAAATTTGATTACAAAACATCAATCTTAAAAAAGTTCAGAGGCTTTTGGTTGAATAAGCTTGCACATGTAATATTGATAAAGTACCAGATTACCAGCTGCAAATGCTTGCAGTAACGAAGTACACTGTATTAAACACACACACAGTGAAATAATGAGAGACATGGCTTATTCAAGTTGACTGTCCTAAAGTGTTTTGCAGTGGGAAAGGTATGGGCTGCTGTTAATGGCATGTTTAGAAATATATATCTGTTTTAAAATATTTGTGGTAAATAATGAAAGATTCATGAATGAATTAATTTAGTTATGTCTCAAAAATGTCACAGAAGTTCATTAATTTTCATAGGTTCATATTCTTGTAGGGGAATAATAGAATTCAGTAAGGAATATCTTTAGTTAGTTCTTAGTTGAGTTAATGATAATCTTTGCTCCCATTTAACAATTACAATGTTTTCTTTGTTAATTTGGCATTTTATAAATGTTAAGAGAGCTAAGATGTATATTTGTGTGAAATTATCCATAATCGGCATACAATGAACTTCTTAGAAAGTTAGAAACAAATGGCCGTAGGAACGGGGGTTGGGTCTTCCCCCCTCCTAATTTTGCCGATATATAGATAACTATAATAGAAAATATAGCCACTATATGCTTGTGCTCCCTCAAAAGATAGTATACCTTCTTTTTATTTTGCTTGTCAGGAAATTTTTGACAAACAAAATGAAATAAAGAGGTATTATATAAATAAAATTAATTTACAACCATATTTTCTTAAAACATTATTACATTATACCATGTTAAACTTCGCTACAAGAAAAATGAGAATCCGCCTTTCAGTCATTATTTTCAATTGTAAATGGTTGTGTTTAAACAAAAAAACAAAAAACAAATGGTGCGCCCCCCCCCCCCCCCCCCCCCCCCCACCTGAAGCAGAATTTCGATATTTAATGTTTCCGAAAATTATCTTGTCTACCCTTTTTCTGTCTGCCTGCCTTAGACCCTACGAAAACTTTGAAGTTTTATTTTGGCTGTATGCATTTTTAGCTCTACTGGTCGGAGACCAGAAGAGCTTATGCGATAGTAATGCGTCCGTCGTCCGTCCGTCTGTCCGTCTGTCTGTAAACAATTTTTCTAAACGCTACTCCTCCTACAGTTTTGGTCTGATTTTAATATAACTTGGCACACAAGTAGACTACACAAAGATACATAAAATAGTGCATCGGATTTTTATTTCGATGACCGGTGTTGCCATGGTTACTAAAAATAGAATTTTCTGTGAAATTCCTTTAAAATGCTACTCCTCCTACAGTTTTGATCTGATTTCAATATAACTTGGCACACAAGTAGACTACACAAAGATACATAAAATAGTGCATCGGATTTTTATTTCGATGACCGGTGTTGCCATGGTTACTAAAAATAGAATTTTCTGTGAAATTCCTTTAAAATGCTACTCCTCCTACAGTTTTGATCTGATTTCAATATAACTTGGTACACAAGTAAACTACACAAAGATACATAAAATGGTGCATCGGTTTTTGATTTCGATGACCGGTGTTGCCATGGTTACTAAAAATAGAATTTTCTGTGAAATTCCTTTAAAACGCTACTCCTCCTACAATTTAGATCTGATTTCAATATAACTTGGCACACAAGTAGACTACACTAAGATACATAAAATAGTGCATTGGTTTTTGATTTCGATGAACAGTGTTGCCATGGTTACTAAAAATAGAATTTCCTGTGAAATTCCTTTAAAATGCTACTCCTCCTACAGTTTTGATCTGATTTCAATATGACATGGCACACAAGTAGACCACATAAAGATACATAAAATAGTGCATCCATTTTTGATTTCAATGAATGGTGTTGTCATGGTTAATAAAAATAGAATTTTCTGTGAAATTCCTTTAAAACTCTACTCCTCCTATAATTTTGATCTGATTTCAATATAACTTGGCACACAAGTAGTCTACACTATTATACATAGAATAGTGCATCAGATTTTGATTTCGATGAACGGTGTTGCCATGGTTACTAAAAAAAGAATTTCCTGTGAAATTCCTTTAAAACGCTACTCCTCCTACAGTTTTGGTCTGATTTCAATATAACTTGGCACACAAGTAGACTACTCTAAGATATATAGAGTAGTTCATCGGTTTTTGATTTTGATGAAAGTGTTGCCATTGTTACTAAAAATAGAAATGTGTGAAATTCCTTTAAAACGCTACTCCTTCTACAGTTTTGGTCTAATAGTAGGGCTGGGCAATAATATCGATATTTCAATATATTGCAATACAATGACAAAAAATATCGTATCGCAATACGATTTTGTAATATCGATATATTGGCAATATGCTTAGATTAAGGAATTTTGCCATTAAATATAAAAATGGACTTATGAAAGTTAGTTATTAAGCCAAAGAGTGAGTCAGAAGTTGCTTTGTGGGAACATTTCAGAGCATAACTTAAATGAAATCAACAATTTTTTTTTGTTTGTTGGCTACTTATCATTGTTATGTACATTCTGCATGTAAATTAGAGTAAATATAGTAAGAAAATGCCATTTATTTTACATTGAAAATATTGCAATACATATCGCAATACATTTTAAAATATCGCAATATATCGCAATACGAAATCTCGGGCCAATACCCAGCCCTATCTAATAGCAATGGCTTCTTTTCTCATCCTTTGTTATAAGCACAAACCAGGAGAGCTACAGTCTCAACAGAGACTTCTGGTTTAATTTTAATTAATACAGGATCTCTCTGCTCACTTCAAATTTGCTTAATCCTCACTCATCAAATAAAAAAGGTTGTAATAAAATCTTTCGTGGTCCTGTTTTGTGCATTGATCAAATTAAGTTCCTCTGTGCTATAATGATTATACTTCCATTACGTGTTCCTGTGATTTTTATGGCATAGTCGATCATTGTGCGTTTGTAGTCGAATCTCATTTTCCTTTGTATAAATCTCAAAAATATAATTGGTATCCGTCAGCTCCATTTTCACCTAAAAATTACATTTCTACACCATTCCTTAAAAGATATATTATTTAGCATCTGTCTTCTTGAAAACGTGTAAAACATACTCAGTAATTTAACCCCACGATTCTGGTCCCTTTGAAGGAAATGTATGACAAAAACAAAATGCCACATAGAAAATATAAACCAAAGAGCACGGGTTAACCAAACGCTCTCATTATGGTAAGGTATAAACCTAACAGTATAATGAGAACGCTAATAAAGATGTGTGGTTTGTGTAATATAGAGCTTCAGTGCAAAGGAGAATTCCTCGGAGCAAAATATGAAGGTAAGCGAACTCATTTTAAAAAAAGTCTTCAGTACTTGAGGAGGATGCCATCACGGAGGCGTTGGTATCCTCCAAAGGGCGTCCAGAAATCGTAACAGATTGTACCGCCCTATTACGAGAACGTGCGAGGAAAAGCAGGGACGGATCCCTTTATTTTGTTTTGGGTGACATTTTTTTCAGGGTGAAGGGCGCTCCTGAATTTTAGCAAAATTAAAAATAAACTTTAACCTCATAATGTCAGCAATCAACGATGTAGTTATACTCCTAATAACACAATGACATTTTGCAGAGGTGGATCCAGAAAATCTTGAAAAGGGGGGGGGGGCAGGGTAGGGGTCCTCAGCCAAAACATTATTGATTTATCAAATTTTGTGTATTTTTTGGACACAAAAGGGGGGCCCGGGCCCCCTCTAAATTCACCAGCGTTTTAGTATCAATAATCAAGTTATGCAAAAATTTCCCTTAAGAGAATTTTCTCAACATCAAACTTATAGATATTCAGGTAAGTGCTCATGGTCTAAGCACATGCAGCTGTTACATATTTGTAAGCCACTGTTGCACTAGTCTGTTTCCTTATTAGATTTTGTGCTAAACATTCGTAAAACGTAATTTCACAAATGATATTGTGACTTTATTTTTCTAAACTGCGTTCATCAGCAACGGTAGTCAAGAGAAAGATTGTTGCCTATATGAGTACGATGGCTATTTTCAAGTGTAAAGAGGATGTGTTTGTGAAACACTATGCGCCCAGTGGCAACAAAGTTCGAAAAAGCTATTTTTAGCATGTAGGTCACAGTTAAGGTCACAGTCAATGACCTTGTTGCCATTTGGAAGAACTTAATTAGTGGAGTTTGCATACCGAATCTACAGCCTCTATCTCCTATAGTTTAAAAGTTATGGCAAGCTATTATTAGCATATAGGTCACAATCAAGGTCACAAGGTCATTGACCTTGGTGTCATTTGAAGGAGTATGCATACCAAATATGGAGTTTCTATCTTCCATGGTTGAAAAGGTATTGAGAAAGTTAAAGTTTGCAGACAGACAGACAAAAACATTATGCGTCCTGTCTATCGATTCGGGCACATAAAAATCCGCTTTTCACTTTCCGACGTAAATGGTCTAAGGGATTACATATGTATATATGGCGTCAAAACTGGCAGCAGATTTATATTGTGGAAATACATGCAATCAGTTTTCTGATGATTTATATTGCTTGAAAAGTAAAGCCCATGTAAAGCTGCATTTTTAAGTTGTGTTTTATTAAATAAATCCATCTTTTTTTTTATTTTCTGATGTAATTTGAGGTGGTCCTATTTTAATAAATGACAGTTTTTCGTTAATATACAAATATGATGCATGCAGCCTTATATTTTTAATTATCGAAATCGAGGGGACGTGTCCCTTTAATAAACCCGTCAGTGGTATGGGAAACAAGAAAATTCAAAAAATTGTGGTCCCCCGCTTCCGGTGTCTTTGTGGGTGAGATGTCATTTTTATGAAACATTGTCTATGTGTCAATATGAACTCCCTATCATATGTCATTCAGAAGTTATCACCGAAGTTGACTTTTTTAATTAGGTCAATCGTAAAGGTCAAAGGATCAGAAATCATAGCATGCTCGGAAATATCTTGTTGCAGGTGTTGCACATGTCAAATATATATGAAAA